CGACTATTAGTCAAACTCCATTTTTTCTTGTTTTTTTTTTCTAAGAGTCGAGGGCGGACAAGTTCTGAAGTTCAAACCCAAACAAACTGTTACATGTACGCCGTTTTGCTTCCAGTAATCAGTGCAACAGACCTGACCTCTTAGAAAACACGATATTCAAACTGAGGTCAGTGTATGTGCAGTGATTGGTGGATTTCGATACCCGGCCTTTGTCAGTTTCTTTGCGTTTGCGGTCTATCTCTTTTAGCTGTTATTTTTATTAAAGGCAATTAAAAACGCAATCGTAAACGGCAGGAAAAGGGAAGCAAATACGATTGAACTCAACAGACAAGATTGAAGAACAGGTAGATTTTGTTCATAAACCAAATCAAAATTTAATTATTGAATCGAGGTCCAATTTGATTGTTGGATTATTCATTTTATGAATGGATTATTGAATCAACAAACGAAATCATTTTTCCGTTAATGAATTCATTAGTTTGCTAGCGACGGGAACGTTTGACCTGGTTTGACTGTAATAAGCTCTTCCCTGTGTTAGAGTTCCTTTAATCTTTCACTTCTTACTTCCTTTTGTGCTAGTTTTGTGAGGGAATCTTCAGGTAACTGATGTGACTGAGACACAATTTGTTGAACAAGGGGCTTTGTTACTTTGACAGGCGAAGCATATTCGCGCCTTGCTTCAAGGGACGGGTTTCCCAGGCCCAAGCCACCCAAGCGAACTGGCAGCGCTAGAGTATTCCTATCCAGCTGATTACACTTGCGCTCAGTAATCACAGGCATGAGCATCTGAGATATTGCATTCTCTAATGGCTCTAATCATGGATAATACAAGTCTTTCTATTATCCATGCTCTAATACATCTTGAATGTCTGGCAAATTTCTTGAAAAGTACGTCCACCGATGTTTCTAGCCAAGTGTAGGCTGCGTAATAATAATGATTATCATAATAATAATAATAATAATAATATATTATTATTATTATTATTATTATTATTATTATTATCATCATCATTATTATTATTATAACGTTTACTTTTATAGCGCTATTTCGATTCCATTACTGTCCAGAGAGAGCACACGATTGAAAAGAAAGTGTTGATACTGTGATAGCGACTACCCTACGAGCAAAAAGGCTCCCTTATTCTATTAAAGATGTCTGTATAGGGACATAATGAATTAGAATCTATTTCGATATCACCATTTTTCTTCTAAATTCAAACTGTGATTACAACAGTCATCACTGGTGATTGAGGATTTGTGTGCGCCCCCAGCATTCTCCTCAATCTGCATAATTCTTCTCGTCATCCATTCATTCAGCCTCATTCAATAATTGCTAAATAAAGCGCGTTTGCTTATGTACGGTTGTATCAGGCGTAAAAGAGAAGCGAAAGGAGAGACATTCCTCTCCCCCTCCCCTGACCCCTAAGGAAGACCTTGATCTATACGCACGCGAGCAGTCTGGGTAATACCTCATGGATAGATACTTCATGTACGGGGACAAATATACCGCGTGATACAACACAATGAACACACAGAATATGCAGGTAGTCGCTTCGTAGAGTTGGCTCGTGAATTGATCAGCAGCACCGAAATCTTTTTGATAAAGGTAAGAAAAGCTTCTCAACACATTAAGCATACATCTTAGAATAGTTTGAGGGGTTGACTTAATCGACAGAGTCGAAAATGCATGCTTTTAGTCCGCGTAAATAACAGCTTAAGCGTACGCTTTACCAAGCAATTTGTTGCATTGCTACTGTGATTGTCATTAAGCATGCTTAATTAACGAAGAAGTTAAAGCATAGGTAAACATTTAACGGTTAAAGAGGTCTTAAAAATGCGACGTATTTTTGAATTTCCGCGTTTTGAAGTTCGTGTTTGATTTTACGGTTGCAGTATGTTTTAACTCGAGTTATTACATAACTCAATCTTGATAGCTCGATCTTTCAGCTGATATTTGCACGCTGTGCAATTACCTTATATTGCCGTATGGGATGATTTATTACTTTACATAACAAAAACGTTTCATACATAAAAGCCAGGCTTTATAACGAAAATTGAATTAAGTTGTCAAAGAGCAATGTAATAACGCGTGAATAGACCTTGTCACGGTTTTAAAAGCCATCTTGACAAGTGGGTAAGCGCGTGAGAAATTACAGCATTTGTATGAGAATGTAATGTCGAATAAGGTCAGTCAAATGGCTTTTCTGACAAATTAATATATGTTGTAAGCTAAAGCTACCCAGCAAAGGATTCTAATAACAAAGTTTGGGGCTGTACCCATGCGTTACATTTCTGCAGATGCTTCAGGTTGCAAAGAAAGTCAGTTTTACAGCTTGCCATTACATGTCTTTGCACGCTGTGGTTGCTTTAGATTTTCCACATGTTTGCCTACAATTTTCCAAGGAATAATTCCCAGGAAAATTGCGGGCAAATATATGAAAAATCTAAAGCAAGCATCTGGAGAAATATTTTTAGTTGGCAGGATGAAATAAATGTATAGAAAATTTAAAAAAGTGGTTCTTGCACATGCAGCTGCATGTAATGCCCTCAAATTTTTACAATAGAATCCGTACAAGTGCAAGTAAAGCTTACAGAAATTATTTGACATTAAATTCTCATACAACCACTGTAAATTCTCACGTGGTTGCCTACCCATCAAGATGGCTTCCAAATGTGTGACAAGGTGTATTAGACAAAACTCTTCTCACGTGCTATCTCCCTTCATTTGTTTCATTTTGTTTTTCTCCCTTTTGGGTCATAATATGAACTCTGTCCACCAGGAAAAAATGTAGCCTTCTTTTATAATTGTCATTTGAAAATGGTTTTTGTTCACGCCAATCCAGAGTAAATTAGCCCAGGAAAAGGGCCAGCAGTAAGAATAAAGGGACACTTTGACTGACGTGTGTAATTTGAAACCTACTGCTCAGGTACTGTATTTGTATACTGTGAAAAGATACGCTTTTCTGCGCGTGGATAAACTCACTGGCTTAAACTTTAAAGCAGCTCCATGAACTGATAGGTTTTTGAATATCCAATGTAGATTTTTGCCAGTAGAGTTCGCCAGCACACCCGTTTGTCCAAAAAAAGCCAAAAGCTATGACAGCGCGTTTGGAAGTGTTGCTGATCAGTCTATCATTCATTTCAGCTTGTAACGTTTAACAAAACCTGCTGGCAGTTACAAGCAAAGCTATCATCACAGAGTTTCTTAAAAACAAGTAGTTTTTAATGCAGTGCAGTGGATATAAAGCAACTTTATTAATTTAAGCATGTTTTACATAAATTCGGAAGTACCAATCCTTACACGCCATAGTCTACGGGCGGGTCTACAGGTCACAGAGGTAGAAAGTTGTTCGCCTGTTACTCACGGTAAAGCTTTACTATTGATTCATTAAATCGCTCAAGAATTTTGGCCATGATACTTACAGTTTTTAGGCCATCGCGTGCTACGAGAATCGTGTCCTGTGCTACAGGAATCATGTAGTGCATGACATGATTTGTGTCTCGTGAGAGGGTGGTAACTTACTTTTGAGCAGGTTTGTACAAGATTACAAGGTAAACTAGAAATAGGTATCTCGCAATAACCCTCGGAAAACTAGGTTTTATAGAAGGACCACTTAAGTTAAGCCCTGTTGAGCGGGGTTAGTAACTGGATGGGTAACTCACCGCGAATATCGTCATGAAGGTCCCCTCTTTGTTCTCTCTCGTCGTCTTCTTTTTTTTTTCATTTTTTGTGTTGTTCTTTTTAAAAGTGTATTGAAAAGCATATTTAGGATTAAAACACAAACATGGCGGAAAAGTTCACGCGAAAATTATTGGAATCTTACTTCAGGCCGTAGAGAAATGCGAGGACAAGGGGTACTTAAGGAGGGAGGGAAGGAAATGCCTGCCAGGGCACCATTGTTTTCGCCATCCCACCTACTAATTATGTATGCAAAAATAGCGCATCTGTGAATGACTAGTTGTCAAATAAGTCTGGCTGTGATGCACTTATTTTTAGCTTTTGTTTTCCTAAAACAAGAAAGTCAATATTTCTAGCCAGAATAATAAATAAGAATAAGAATAAATCAAGGAACTCGAAGCAACTTTCCGACATTCACAAGTAACTTTGGGACATCTGAATGCAACTTTGAAACATTCCTGAGCATTGCGAATAAGCTTACCTAAAAAATAATAATAATGCTGTAATTATATAATAGAAGTTGATTTAGACGGAACTCAAGACAAAGCAATCACTATGTTCATTCAAATACATCCAAATCCTCTCAGGCTGTACTTTCACATGGTGCTTATGCGCGTATTTGTTTATCAGCATTTAACAGACTGAACTTTATAAATTTTTGTTGAGTATCGACTTTGGCCACTTTTGGGTGTGAAAAGGTTAAAGTTTTTTTTTTCTCAGGTTTAGCCCTCTGTTCTTACTCACCTGTATGCATTTGATAAATTTGTTATAAAGCTTTGTCTAATGAACATGTCCCTTTCTGTTTAAACTATGCATTGGCCTTCAGAGTGGTGACCATTAGTTGGGGAAGAGTAAAGACTATAAAAGACTGATGTTTTTACAGTGTGTAATGGGTGTTACAGTTACTTGTTATCATAAATGGCAAATGAAAGGTTCTGTGATCTGCTGTTAATAATTTATGAATTTTCATTCCTTTGCTCTTGCCCCAGAGGTGTGAATATTTTACAGAACAGAATACCACATTTTTAGAATTGACCGCTAATTTACTTGTTAAAATGCCCCACACAGTGTTCTCCTTATCAGGCAGTAACCGGTAAAATCTACTGTTTGAAGCAACACTTCTTACCGCCTGCAACCTCTTGAAGTGTTACTAGAATTAAATAAATTGTTTAAAAAAATATGCAAGTTGTGATCCAAGCCGATCCCTGCAAGAAAAGGAAGTAAATACAGAAAAACAAAAAGTATACACAGCTATTCTCCCTAAGTACTTCATTTAAGTGCTGACTGGCACCTTTCAAAGCACTGCAGGCTAACAATTTTTTCGTGGGCTTCTGTCCCAATTCTAAGCTTTTTCGACCAGCAGGAAAAGTTCATGACTTCCGCAACTTGTGTTACTAAATTGACCCTAGCGGCAAAGGCAGCCTTCATTTGTAAAATTCTTTGTTTTGAGGTGTTTAAAATACTTTTTGGTCAATTGGTTGACAGGATGCTCGAAAATAAAAGCCTTCATGAATGTGAAGCCCCTCCCCTGGTAGGAGAGTGCGCCTCTGGCGCATATTTTTGACCTTACCGGTCAAGAATGGTCCCTTAACCGCTAAGCTAAAATTTAGGGAGAGCACTGCCCACATGATTGCAGAAAACTATAATAACGTAGCTTAATGCTACAAGAAGGCTGAAACCCTAAGTGATTGCTGCAGAATTTGTTGTTGTCCAGCATGTCATTGTCATTTGTTATTTGGAATGTTTCAGTCCTGCTATGAGATTTGCAGAAAGGGCTGCTGTTTGGCCTGTCTTTAAAATTCTCTACGATTCATGCTGCTAAATTTGCAGTGAACAAAAAATCTTTTTATTTAAAAGAGTTGACAAATTGATTGTCCCTGGCTTCCTGTCAAATACATAATTATGTTCTGTTGTATTTTACATTGATATTTCCAGCAGATAGTCTTTTTCAACAAACAAACAAACAGTCTGATATTCATTCAGATCTACATGCTGTTATTCGCAATAAATGAACCTTCACTGGTCTCCACTGTTTGATCACTAATTATACTTTGAAGAGGAGGAATGACAATGATGTTATCAAGGCCCACTTTCAACTAAGATCTGATAAACCTTTACACAATCACTGATACTGTAATTAAATTACAATGTAGACAAAATAATTTTAACACCAAATTTTATTGATCTATTGAATACAAACTAGTGTACTCAGTATCAAGTTGAGAAATTATGTTGATTATTTTTGTAACTGCAGAAATCCCTCAAACTAACCCAAATTAAAACTTGTTCTATTGCGTACCCGTTTAGGAGAATTCTTTATTGATAGGCACAATAATTTCCACCTCCTCATTTCTTTGTTTCTCGCTCCGTGATTTTGTATGTTTGTCAAAAGGCACAAGATGTGAATATACAGGCTATCACCAACAGTGTCCTTATAACTAGTGACAACAATATTTTAGCCTGCCTCTAATTGTACATGTATCTGTCTTTCTCTGTGGAATTACTGGTATTCACGTCCGTTTTGGCTGAAGTCATAACCAAAATGAAATGCAACGAAGCCCTAACAGTGCACTAGCTTTTCTATTGGCAGTTAAGCTCTGGCAATAAACTGAATAATCTTTGTCAAGTTTTTTTACTAGTTTATAATGCTTTTTTACAATTTGTTCTAGGCTAGATTTGTAGGTTTCAGTAGGGCTGGTACTCAACGATTTATAGTAGCTTGGTTACCTATAATTTCTTGTACTAATTTAAATTGCCAAGAATAAACACTCAAATTGGAACTTCTTCTGTTATTGAAAACAGGCATATCTCCAATAGAAAGTCAAGGCCAATGGCTGGAAGTCAAGACATAGAAGACAAAACATGCCTCTTTGAGAGCTCTAGTAAACTGTAAGTTTCTCAACTTTAGAGATTTCTCCTTCTTAAGCCCTTAACTACCAGAGTCAACTACACCAAGTAACCGGCAGCCATTTCTCAATGACTGGAGTTTATTTATTAAGACAACTTGAACGACTGGGCTCTTGGGGATTTGATTTGTCTGAGTGACCTCACACAGGACGTATATACACATCCTTGGTAGGCAAGGGATTAAGATTCCATGTTCTTTGCTTAGATTACTGGTGTGGAAATTTGGCAAATGGTAGTCATTGTAGAACTCAGATGGTTTTGGCACGGAATAGGGAAATACTCTTTAAAGATCACGGATGTGAAGATTTATATGCATACTTTTGTCAAAAGCCTCCATTCAAGAGCATCCTTATGAAAATCTGGTAATTTTGGAAATTGCTTTAACGTTACACAATCCTGCAATTTGATTTCTCCTTTACTACAGAAAAAACTTTGTGAACATTCCCACCTGGGTTTGTGTTTCTTTTTCCAGAAATGATGCAGGCAAAAACCCAATCATTTTACAGTTAGTAACACTGAAACCCACCCATCCCCAAGGGAAAAAAACAGCCTCCCTCTCCACCTGGACAATCTTGTTCTTTGTTGATTTTGGAAATACAGTAGAACCTCGATAACTTGAACGTGGATAACTTGAATTCTCTGCTAACTTCAACCAAAGTTCTTTTTCCTTGATGAAAATTCCACTGAAATTTACATTTTGTACCCTAAAAACTCGAATTCCATGCTAACTCAACGTTTTTCAGTTCCCTTCCGAGTTCAAGTTACCAGGGTTCTACTGTATAAATATCTGACATGATGTGCCTGATCAAACAAGGTCTTGAGCTTGAGTAAAGCTTCACTGTAAAGCTTCATAATTACATGTACATTTGTATATTTTACAACATTATATGAGGGGGAGGGGAGGGGGGACTGTGGCTATCCATGAACCAGAATATTGTAAAAAGGGATAATAATGATAATAATGAAGTGGAGGTCTGGAAGCAAGTAACCTTGCGTTGAATGAGATATTAGGTAACATAAATAATCATGGTAATAGGAGTGAGTGGAGTCCAATTTGTTCTTTAGTCATATGTGTGATTAACAAAGTGAGATGACCGAGTAACAGTAGTCTGATTTGTTCAATCACGAGTATGATTATTGACAGAATTGGATGACACGGAGTTCTGTTACAAATGTTAATTAATCATAACTACATGTACATGTAAAGTTGTGTTACAAAATTAATTGTGACACTTGAAGCTTTTTTTGAAATTTAAAACACGAGAAATTCCTGTTAGAAAGTTTTGTATGAAGTGGAAACAATCATTTAAGAACGGGTGTGCAATGGGCATGGGACGCAAAATGTCCTATTACTCTGTCATATTAGTTCTCAAATAAGGACAGTTGATAGCCAATCCCATTCGACGATTTTGTTATTGTTATGATTATATGCAAAATAAGCAAGCACAAAGTCTAAGTACATTAAACCCACCACATACATATACAAAGTTGTGTTACAAAAACACTTAGTTACTAATTAATAAATTTTAAGCTGGGTAAAGAATGCGTTTCAGTTGAGAATAGAAATGAAGCAATTTTGAGGCCATTGTCAAGCACTGAGCAGCATGCTAGCCACAGATACAGTCGAACCTCCAGGTGCGACCACCTTGCGTTGGCAACCACCTTTCCAAAACACCAAAAATGTTCTCAGTCAAAGCCTTATACTGGAACCTCCCGTAAGCGACTGTGACCACTTTTTCGGCTGACAGTTTCAGAATTTTCTATTGTTTTCAACCTCCAATATTTGACCACTTAACACATGGTCTTACTAAACAGTGAAGTACATAGTAAAAGTGGACAAAAAAGGACTTTATTATTTGGCTGTCATTATTGTCTACATGTCTGTTGCTCTGTATAATTAGTTTGATCTATAACTCAATATTAACTTTTGCCCTTGAGAAAAAGACTTAGATTTCCTGGTTTCAGTTTAAGAAGTTAAGTTTTTGTTCTTCAGACGTTTTAGGGACATTTCTCTGCAAGAAGTCACGTACACAAGTAAAATTTTTTAACCACAATCCTCATCCCTAAGTACACTTCTGTAAAAGAAGTGTCTCGTAGAATAGCTAATGATTTTGTCAATAAAACTACCAGTAATTGGCAGGGGAAAGTAAACTTTCATTATTTTTTATAACAAATATACCACTCCATTCTAGGTTGACTTAAAAATTTTGCCCTTGTGGTCCGACTATCCTAAGCAAACGCCTTCCATGAGCAATCTCCAAGCCTTTCGCTTTGGGTGGTCACTTACAGGAGGTTCGACTGTATTGCCGGATGGTAGGATTTTTGAATGACCTTGGAAAATGGTTTCAGCAAGTGTTTGTTATTTGTTTTATCAGCGAACGGATGAAAAGATCAAAACAGGGACTCTTTTTTTTCCTGCCAAAGAAAACCCTAATGTGGAGAAGGCCTTATTCGATTGGCCAACCGTGTTGCAGTATGACGTCAAAATAGTATCAACTGATTTCAAGAAATTTCTCGGGCATGAAGTTTTTTGATCCAATGTTCTCTTTGATAGGCCAGTTGCACTAAGAGGTCACGTGACCAATGCTTCCTTTAAACGATGCGTTGGAATCTTGCTGATACCAAAAATTGACAGAGCGCATAAAAATTATCTTTCTCCCGAAATTTGAGAGGGAACGCATTTAAGCGAGATATTTTATGGCACTTTGATTTTTCAACAAAGCAGTATGATTTGTATTGGCCGCCATGTTGGAGGGCATACTCTTGCTCTCCAACATAGCGGCCAAAACTACTTTTTGCTTATATCTTGTTAAACATTTGATAGTTACGCTCAGATGTGCTGTAAACATTACCACATCCTCTTTTCAACATTTTCCTTGAACTTTAAGTTCAAAATTTGTGTTCTGAAAGATGTAATACCTAAATTTACAAATCACATTTTCATCACGTGACGAGCTATGCACTTACTCATTTTAAGAAAATGGTGCGAGTTTGAAAAACCAGATCACTATTATTTTGTTTAAGATATGACCCACTAATCGATTTTCGAAGGCAAAATCATGTAACTTTCATTTTCATAAACTCGATGTCACATGAGATCTTAGTGCAAATGGCCTATAACCAATCAAAAGCCACGCGCAATAGTATCCATTTAATGAACCAATCAAATCGCTCTATTTCCATTTGTTTGTTGTTTTTGTTTTGTTTGTGTGTTTTCATTTCAAGGTCATATGAAAATCACTCCATTGTTGGTTTAAAAGTGCATTGTTTGGTGAAATGAAAAAAAAATTGTTTTGTTTTGAAACCCATTTTGTGTCTCACAAAAGACACCACGTGAAAGTGGAGGGTTTTTTTAGTTGAATTCCTTTGAAATTCCTTTGTTTCCTTACCAAAAAAAAGTCGCAGGCAAAATTTCCTTAAATTTCGTGCCCATTGGAAATTTATCAAATACCTGTATTACACGGATGTTCTGCACATTCAAAATAATGTAGCCCTTCAATCACTCTTTTTAGAGACGGCTTAGAACTGATAGTATTTTACAATGGCATGATTTTGTAAGATACTGATCTCATCAACTATCACATCAAAATGCAGAATCAAAATCAATACCCCCCAAAAATGGTGCAGTAATTAATGGTTCTTTTGCTTTCTAAACTTTGTGTAGTAATACATGTATATTCTCAGTAAATGTACTTAGTAGATCAGTTAGACTTTTTGAGGCAGGAAAAAAACCAGATTCCATTCACCCTGGCAAGTAAATTTTGATCTTGGGCCAGTGAAAATAGATGTTTAATAGTTAAGTGGACAATTGAAATTAGCCTCAGCAGTCCTGTGAGTCTGTCTGAAAGTGTCATCTTTGTGAATGGCAATTTCCAACAGAAACTATTTTAAAACTGATGACTGCAAAATGAGGGTTACAACGAGTTGAAAGCATTCATGAATCAATATTTAAAATCCAAGTGCATGTTTGCTTGCTTGTGTTACTTCATGTACTCTGATCACCAAGGCTTTGTGTTGCATAATGTGACCTCCAGGGCTGGGTTGTTTGAAGGTGGGTTAAGGTAACCCAGGGTTAGTGCGACATTTGAACTCAGATATGAGAACTTAAAAAGCAAATTCAGTTTAATTCTATTTGCCTACAATTTGATGATTAGTTACTCTAAAAAGAATAGAGAAAATTATCCAAGAAAGTGATTTTGATAAAAAGACAAATAAACCTGCATTAAAATTAACCCTTGCGCCAACTGGCTTTTCAACAACTGGTGCCTGGGAATTCTGTATTAACTTTTATTCAAAATGTATTCTAGAGAAGGTCTGATCGGTGGTTTTTAAGGCAACTAAAAAAATATTGAAACTGAATGTTGCACTGAAATTATGTATGACATAAAGCCCTGTCAAACTCTTTATTTTAAATTATGCCAGATGTTAGTACATGTTCATACATCCAATGTTTAGAGGTTTTATGCAGTTAGCTGCAGGTTCATACATATAATGTGCTCCGTGATAGAGTAGGGCTTTGATGCCCTACCTAAAGGAAACAGTTTTGCGAAGAAAGTCATGTCCAATAGCCCTGTGTTAAAGGAATTTGCTATTACAAGTACAGTGTAGGCTACTGAATTCTCTTCTTACACCTGCAACTTGCCCGACAGGCAAGTGAACTTTTTTTTGGGAGTGCCATATATCCCGCTCGTCGGGTTAGTTAAAATTACCCTTGAACCAGTACGTGCTAGCTACAGCTTGCTCAAAGGGGAAGCTCTAAAATTGACTTTTAATAGGGCTGCCAAATGCTACTAAACCTGGCCTGGTAAATAACTGTAGGCTGTAGGTTTCAAGTTCGACCCACCCACCCACCCATACATTTACATGAATATTTTACCTTCCCCAAGAACTTGTTAGGGTCTATTCATTAGCAATTTTTACTTTTTGAGATTTTGTGTTTTACTGATCATTTTATCGAGATACTCATTTTTTATTACTTTTCCTTGGCTAGCCTCATAAAGAGATTCTTTTAATTTTTAGATTTTGTTTTGAAGACACTTTTTTAAGGCACCCTGTGTGGAGATTTCCCTATTTCATGGATTTTCTTTTTTTCGCCGTAAATGTTTTTGTAAGAACATATTGCTCTTCTCTTCTCCTGCACATTAAGTCCTTACAGTTACATGGTACGTGAGAAATTGGTTTACCCTTGAATATTTTGTTTATAAATGCACGAGGTGGAACGAGAATGGGATAGAGGAACTGGGGAAAGTGTGATGGACAAGTACTTGTTTGAACCAAGATGGACTAGCATGGTATTCAGTGAACGTTAGTGCTCATCACCTGTCAAACTCTGGGATTATGTACTACAGTGAAACCTGTATTAAGCGGACACCCTCTATTAAGCGGACAGTAGCCGAAGTCCCCAAATTTATTTTCCTTATTTACTTTAAATGAAACCTGTATTAAGCGGACGCGGACGCCTACAAAGTACCTGAAATGGTCATTTCTACTGTTGCCAACCTGTATTAAACGGACACTTGTAATTAAATTCCACCACCCAATACGCCAGATACCGGAAATGCGAAAGATTGCCTCGAATTGCCACCCACAAATTTTTCAATTTTTACGTTAAAAAACGTGACTTGACGAACTTATTTGATTAGTTTCACAGTACAGGATTGTTTTCTATTTCGTTTTGGTTGTATAGCGCTTGTTTCACTCATCTGATTTCTTCAAATTTGAGTTGCAACCATGTTTATGGTACTATGATCAATTGGTTCACTTTGATAAAGAAATTAATGCAAACATCTATCGTCATAGTCTCTGGGAGTATTATAAACGCTTCCACTGTTCATTTGAATGGCATTTGTCACCTCATATGACGTTATATATTGAAATCTGTATTAGGCGGACAGCCTGTATTAAGCGGACACTACAGCATTCCCCGAGGGTGTCCGCTTAATACAGGTTTCACTGTATTATTGTTAAATATTGACGCATCCAATTCAGAAATGCTGGATGTTATCATTTAACCTAATAAGCCTTTAACTAATGGTATTTTCATTTGATGTTTAAAAGGACTGATGAAAGAGAAATGCAACCCATGCCCTTTAAGTGCAATGAATGTGGCAAGTGTTTTGGAGATAAGAGAAACCTTAAAAAACATGAGAGAGTCCACACCGGAGAGAAACCTTATCAGTGTACTCAGTGTGGCAAGTGTTTTAGCTTAGCAGGAAACCTAACGAAGCACTTCAGAATTCACACGGGAGAAAAACCCTTTGAATGCAAACTGTGTGGCAAGCGTTTCAGCCGAGCAGGACACCTAAAAACACATGAAGGAGTTCACTCTGGGGAAAAGCCGTATAAGTGTGAGAAGTGTGGCAAGTGTGTAACCCGACCAGAAAACCTGAAGGCTCATGAACGAACGCATACTGGAGAAAAGCCTTTTGAATGCAAACAGTGTGGAAAGTGTTTTAGCCGACCGGAAATTCTAAAGGCTCATGAGCGAGTCCACAGCGGGGTGAAGCCATTTAAATGTAAGCACTGTGACATGAGTTTTAGGCAAAGGGGGCACCTAAGAGTACATGAAAGAGTTCACACTGGACGAAAGCCTTATGAATGCGAACAGTGTGGCAAGTCATTCACTGACGGAGAGAGGCTAAAAAAACATAAAAGAGTTCATACTGGAGAAAAGCCTTACAAATGTAAAGAGTGTGGCAAGTGTTTTAGCCAACCAGGGAACCTAACGACTCATGAAAGAGTTCACACTGGTGAAAAACCTTACGAATGTAAACACTGTGGAAAGCGTTTCACCGAAACAGGAAGCCTTAAGAAGCACGAAAGAGTTCACACTGGTGAAAAGCCTTATGAATGTAAGCATTGTGGCAAGGGTTTTAAGCGTTCAGGACACTTAAAAGCTCATGAAAGAATCCACACTGGTGAAAAACCTTACAATTGTAAACACTGTGGAAAGTGTTTTAGCAAAGCAGAAAACCTTACGTCTCATATCCGAGTTCACACTGGGGAAAAGCCGTTTGAATGTAAACAGTGCGGTAGGTGGTTTAGCAAAGCAGCAAACCTATCGACTCATAAACGAGTTCACACTGGGGAAAAACCTTACAAATGCAAACATTGTGGCAAGTGTTTTAGCCAAGCAGGAAACTTAAAGACTCATGCAAGAGTTCACAGTAGGGAAACGCCTTATGAACATGAACTGTCAGGGGAAAGTTTAAGTGAAGCGGAAAGGCTAGGACATCGTGAAATACATGTAGTCTTTGGTAAAGAGAAGCCTTTCTTAATGGAAGCAGTGGGGCAAGAATTTAAACCTATATGTACGGCTGTAGCCGGACAGCTAGGGACACATGACAGTGCACAATTTTTGAATTGCGTTAATATTGGCATAGAAACGAATGTCAGTCTTAACGTTTGAGATTAAAACGCTAGAGAGGAGCTAAAGAGATGTTGGTGTTAGGACCACAAGATTTCTAAACACGTCATTTGTTTGGAAAACGGGATCTGGAGATAATATTCCAAAAGGCCTACAACCAGTAATCGTTGAGAAACAGAGCTGTTGGATTTGTCAAGAGGAGATGAGTAGCGAGGCTTTTCTTTAACATTATGAAAGCCCTATGAAAGACTTGTGTAAATATGAACATTTGGAGAACGTTTCTTCGTTTCTTTATCATTTAAAAATAGTTTTTTCTCCGTTGAGACATCTTAACTTTTTTTCTTTCCTTCGCTTATGTTTATGTTGCATTAGTATGGAACAGCAACCGTTTGATTCAGAATTAAATGCCAGGGTTATCGGTCCTTTCGATACCAGTCATTCAGTCGAGGTGTAAGTAGTTTCAGGTACGTGGCGTAAATAACGAACGATATTCGTCCCAATTGGTTTTCTTGTTCACGCGCAAACTATACTTGAAGTGATCAAAATTTTTGTGCAGGTTTGAGATTGTATCAAAACGACTTGTACCGAAACGACTGTTTCTTACTTGTCATGTGATCGAATCAGGTACGTGTGGACGTTCGACTATCTGCTTCTGGTATAATTTTATAGCAAGAAAGATGTTATCACTTCGGTAACCGAGGGCTCAGAGGAGGCCAAGTTGTCGTACCAACACGCACAGTGTGAAACAGGATTCATCGTGTCCTCGAGTTAGAGTTTGTTGCTCAATATATATCATATACAGCACCCGTAAGACAGAATTAAGAGCTGGGAACATGCCGAGATCGGTTAATAGCGCTTTGTTTCTAGTTCGGAAATTCGTCGTCTTCCCAGAACTTCGGTTGGCAATAGTTTATACCCAGGCAATTAGTGTCGGCGCCATTTGACTAGAATCCAACCGTACTTGAACAATGATCGCATGACGCAGCATAGCATACGAGGACGCTCTCTGCGGGCATGCTTCTAGGGACAAGTGCAAGAGAAAACCCTGTCCCCCCCCCCCACCCTGCCTACTCCAGAGCCCCCAAGAGAGGTTGACATTATTTTGTGTGTTTGTACTATATTTAATTCTCTTAAAGTTAGCCATTATATTTTTACATTTTGTGTTCTTTTCTGTGGCTTCTTTCAAGAAGATGCCTTGTTAATGTAGTAGTTACGAAGTAATGGCAGCCGGAAAACAGTGTAGCAAGAAGCTTCAGTTATTCGGGACACAAATGACACAGTCAGGATATCACAGTGGAAAAGCCTTATGAATGAAAACATTGTGTAGGACATAGTGGAGAAAACATTTCTCACTTAAACATGACCATGTCATGGAGCTCTATGGCGAGTTGTATCCTCGGAAGTCTAAAGGAAATTCATTTCGTGTTTTTCTCAAAGGGATAACGCAAAATGCTCCTTTTCTAATAATTTTTAAACAGTTCTACTTAAAAAAAAACTGGCCCGTGTTTTGTTCCATCTGCTAAAGACAGGCTAATATTGTTTGCGGGTAGAGTAATAAGGTATTTTAAAACAAAAGTAAAAGCAAAATTGAACGTTCTTGGATGGGCATTTGACGATACGATAAATACACTCTGCGAGTGGAGCCTGCCTTTGTCTTCTAATGATCCTGCCTAGTACCCAGGCGCGTTCTGGCGGATTTCGAGAGCGACTAAGATTTTGGTTCCGCGCTAGGTATCATGGAAAAGGCGAAGAGAAAAACGCTCATTTTCTCGTTCACCCTTCCCAGCGTCCATTACACACACGCTAAACGTTCCCATGGTCCATTGCGCGATGCTCCTTGATGGCTCGTGCAGTCGCGTTTTTCGTTTTCCACACTTGAGACGCCTAGGAACGAGGCAGTTCTTGGTCGAGAAGGAGAAAAGAAGGCTCTGCTGCCTGAAGTCTTTGAAATGACCGCAGCCCGAACTTCTGGACCAGCAACTCGTCAAACTAGTTTTTCTTGTGTAAGCATCCGTTTATTGATAAACCAATGTCTTAACTGAGTCCGCTGTATCAAGCGCACGGCTATTTGGCCTGGGTTCGAAATCGTATCGTAGCAACACGCAGCGCATGCTCAACAAAGAAGTTTCTCGATTTTTGCAGAGGTCTCGAATAAGCCAAAATCGAGCAAGCGAAAGAGAGACTCAGTTGGCAGGATGCGGTCAAAGCAACAAAGACCCAAAATATTGTCTAATGATATTTAGTAAAATCCAACTAGTGGTCTATTATTAATGCTGCGTTCTGATTGGTTGAGCTACTACTAGGCTATGTGTTATAGCCCACTAGTAGCGAAAAGTAAAACGGAGTTTAACATCATTAATTTCCCTGCATTGTACTGGAAATGTGCATGCGTAGGTCCCATTTTTTTTAAGATGCATTCACAAAATGTGTTCATATCACAGGAAAAAAAAACAGATTCCCATTATTGGATATGTTAGGGTATTTAAAGAATACCTATACAAATCCAAAATTTGGCAAAGTGAGACAAGTCCCAACCAGGGAATTCCCAACCAAGTCCCCTGGTTGGGACTCTTATGGGTATTCTTAAATACCCTAAAATATCCAAAAATGGAAATCTGTTATTTTTTCCTGTGTATAAGGAAGTTTCTGGAGCTCCACTGTGGACACAAAAACAGCATATCTTTGGACAGTGATTTGCCCCAAAAAAGGCCTGCCCACAATGTGTTTGAAGTCACTGCACTTTGTCGCACTCGAGCTGATATTTTAAAACCCACTCTCGACAGTCGGACACTCGTAGCTTCGCGGATCACTAAAAATTAAATATAAACAAAATCCTCAAAGTAGAAGTTATTGCGCTGATATGTGGGCAGAAAAAAGGTCAATCTTTATCTAGAAAAATCTTCCCAAATTTCAAAAATACCGGATTGCCGGTCATTTAGTGTTTTGAAAACCTTGACCGGTTACCGGCCATATAGCCACAGCGTTTTTAATAACTGGTCCATGCGAGGGTCTCCATTCAAGCAAATTAAACTCACCAAATCATTAGGAAATACAGAAAACTGGACATAAGGGTTTGTTTTGCTCGCTTCGGTCAAATCCAGCTCCAGCAATTGTTTACGGGCAAAGAAACAATTGTTTTGAAGTCACTGCCAGCAGTTGTCGTTCTCTACTTCACAGCGAGTGAAAAGGAGAATTTGCGTACAGAGAGAAAACAAAACTATTAACAGAAAAAGGATCGAATTACTCTTTTCTTCTCGAGTAAGCTTGCTGGCCTTCTATTTCCGAGATAGTTTTAAGCGCACAAGTTTCAGTTCACCCGCATGCGTTTGCAATATGGTTCTTTCACTGAAGACAGGGATAAAGCTGGTTTTGCAACGTGAAGGTAAATTAAAAAATCTGGGCATGTAAAAAAAAGTAAAAAGTTACTACTAATAACAGAATACAAGCGGGTTTTAATTCAGTCCCAAGATGGAAGGCAAAGCACTGGACACAAAATCAACTCACAACTCGAAGGCACAATTATCAGAAAAATACTCGCCTCTTTGAAAATGTTCAAAACCTTTTATTCGACCTCAGACTGACGGATTAATCCGTTTTCCCTTTAACATTTGTTGTTCTGAAGTGACGAAAAAACAACAAGAACAACAACAACAAAAAAAACGAATAAAAAGGCTTTACAGACCTCTACAAGGAGCAAACGTTTCGCACTTTGTGCATTGGTAAACGCTTACCCTGTGCATTTCACTAAAAAATGCAGTCGACACGGCCAGTCAACACAGAAAAGCCCTCCGTGAGCCTGCTATAAGGGATGCGCAGAAGATTGCGCAGACTTCCCAGGCGGTACATTTCTGTTGATGGTTTTCGTCGTTTTGTGCGGCAGTGGGGTTAATCAAAGCAAGAAGACTTCTTTATTATAGGTAAGAAAAGCTTCTTAATGCAAAACGTTCTGGTAAATTCAGTTGTAGAAATCGAATGATAGCGATTATTTAACAATCTTTAATTATTCGCAACTAATGCTCAGCAGTGTGATGTCAGATCCCCTGGACCAAGTCGAGGGGATTATCAGGAATTCAACAATATTAACTGAGCCTGAGGCGAATAATTGTTTTACTATAATTACTCGGGTTATTATCGTAGAGGAAAAGGAAACCCATAGTTCAAATTGTTTCTTTTGTCGAAGAACAGTGTAATGTCTAGTAAATATTTACGCATTCAACAGAGAAGCCATGCGATCAACGTAAGCAATGCTATGAATGCGATCGCGAAGATGACCCGAAGATATAGCCAGAGCGATAAGAAACTATGCTTTTGTGAACTCGATAGATATAGAATTGTTTATTTATTTTTTACTCTTTAACAATTTTCCTTGAGCCCGAATGGACGCTGAGTCAATAGCCCATTCAGCCTTTGGCCTCATGGGCTATTGACTCAGAGGCCATGAGGGCGAGCGGAATAATCGTTTTAGTAAAATCCAACTAGTTGGTCAAAAATATCGAGACAAAACAACTTTAGCTAGTTAAAGCTAGACTTTAATCCTTTTTTTGCTGCCCAAAATCCGGTGCTTTTCACTACTAGTGGCCTAGTAGTAGCTCAGCCAATCAGAATGCAGCATTGATAATAGACCACTAGTTGGATTTTACAAAATTGTTTTATTACAAAAGTCATAACACGTTATTGCGTGTCGGGTTGTTAAAATTGCAACATTTCTGTCAACAATGGAAAGTATCACGTCAGATTTCAGCCCTGTGATTATAAATATTTCCAAAAAAGTGCTCTTAGATACCAACTTTGGCCTTCGCTTTCTCGGCTTATATTTAACGAAAATGCTTCATGTTTGGAATTTGAGTTCAGGTTAAGAGTACATTTCAAATGAGCGATTTTGTAAGCTTTATTATTTTTGACTTTATAGCACTTCTAATACCTTAGCCTAAGTGTAAAAACTTTTTAGCCCTTAAACAATCAAAACTTTTATATCTTACCTTGAAAGGGTTTATCCTGAAATAAATGACATCTTTAAGAGGTTTTCGAAATCAATTTTCCCTTCATTTGTACTCAGCGTTTCTCACAGTTCGCACTTGATCTTGCACAGAGTCAGCAGAGATTGCTATAATCACCCTGTGTGGGGTGATTATAGTGTTTTGTGATAGAATCCTCAACTAATCAGAGTGGTTGTTTGAAGGTAGATCAGCTCTAACCCACAAGTAAAGTTTAATCCAGGGTTTCTTTTTCTTTTGCTTAAAAGGATTTTATTCCCAGATAATTTTCCCTATTGTTTTTAGGACATCAAGTATTCAAATTGTAGACAAAAGGAGTTGAACTGAATTTGCTCTCAAAGCTTTCATTACTGAATTCAAATTTCACACTAACCCTAGGTTATCTTAACCCAGCTTTGAACAACCCGGCCATGATTAGTTATACTAACTGTATGTAAACTATGGTTAATGTGACTTGAACTACTTGCAAGATAAGACATCACATCTTTACCACATTTGACGCACATATACGAAATGTAAAATGTAAAAATAAAAATGTTCTAGCAGTTTTAAAATCCTTGAAATATATTTTGCTCTTCGAGCCTCAAGCCTCGTTGACTGACGAGGCTCGGAGAGCGAAATATATTTCGAGGATTTAAATGCAAATAACACAAGAGAGCTTGGCCCACTGTGACAAAACATATATTTCAGGAAATCACAACTTCAAGGACAAAAAGGCATTTTGAAGAAAATTAAAGTGCCTTAAACCTTTGTTATAACATTATTTAGCCATAATAAAACCTTTGTTATACCATTATTTAGCCATAATAAAAAGAAAAGTAAAAGAAAATGCTAAACTACATCAGTTTCCATGTAACAGGCCACCTTCACGACCGCTCAATGTTCCCTCAGTCAAAATTGAGAACCCTCCAAGGCATAATTTATCGAATAGAGGAAAAAATGATTAAGCTTATCAGGTGGTGGTTGAACACGTGATATCACATGAATTGCATATGGCTACTGCTAAACTTCTAGTTATTGGTGTGTTTTATTGTTTAATTACAATGGCTTTTTTTTTTCTTAAACTATTATTTTTCTATTTGTTACACTAGCTAATCAAGTTTTTTAAATTCAGAATGATTTAATGCAAAACCAGGTCTTTAACTAATGCTTTATATAATTTGTGTTGTAAAGGACTGATACAAGGAACCCCAGCACAGCACATTTCCAGGAGTACTAGATCAATGTCCTTTAAAAACAAGCAGTCTCATAAGATTTTCAGCAGTGCAGTAAACTCAAGGATTCATGGCAGAGTCCACACTGGGGAAAAACCTCATGAATGTAAAGAGTATGGCAAATGTTTTAGCATAGCAAGAAACCTAAGGACTCATGAAAGAGTTCACACTGGTGAAAAGCCATTTGAATGTAAACAGTGTGACAAGTGTTTTAGTCAAAAAGCACAACTAAAGATTCATGAAAGAGTTCACACTGGGGAGAAGCCTTTTGAATGTAAACAGTGTGGCAAGTGTTTTAGTCAGGTGGGACATCTAAGGATTCATGGAAGAATTCACACTGGAGAAAAGCCATTTGAATGTAAACAGTGTGACAAGTGTTTTGGTCGAAAAGCACAACTAAAGATTCATGAAAGAGTTCACACTGGGGAGAAGCCTTTTGAATGTAAACAGTGTGGCAAGTTTTTTAGTCAGGTGGGACATCTAAGGATACATGAAAGAATTCACACTGGGGAAAAGCCTTATGAATGTACACAATGTGGAAAGTGTTTTACAGTATCAAGCAGACTGAAGGATCACAAACTATTTCACACTGGGGAAAAGCCTTTTGAATGTAAACAGTGTGGCAAGTGTTTTAGTCAAGTGAGACATCTAAGGATTCATGGAAGAATTCACACTAGAGAAAAACCCTATGAATGTAAACAGTGTGGCAAGTGTTTTAGTGTTGCAGGAAACCTAAGGGCTCATGAAAGAGCCCACACTGGGGAAAAGCCTTATGAATGCAAACACTGTGGCAAGTGTTTTAGTCGTACAAGCTGTTTAAAGATACATGAAAGAATTCACACTGGGGAAAAGCCTTATGAATGTAAACAGTGTGGCAAGTGTTTCAGGCAAGCAGGAGATCTAACACGTCACGAAAGAGGTCACACTGGTGAAAAGCATTATGAATGTAAACAGTGTGGCACGTTTTTTAGCCGAGTAGGATACCTAACACGTCATGAAACAGTTCATACTGGGGAAAAGCCTTATGAATGTAAACAGTGTGGCAAATGTTTTAGTGAAGTAGGATCCCTAAGGACTCACGAAAGAGTTCACACTGGGGAAAAGCCTTATGAATGTAGACAGTGTGGCAAGTGTTTTAGTCAAACAGGAAACTTAAGAGCACACGAAAAAAAACACATGCCAAGTAGGTCGCGTAAAAATTCTACCAAAAAGGAAAGTGCGTCTTTTTCTTTGCGATGTAAGATAAAGAGAGCAGGAGGTAAAAACTTTGATGTTAGGGCCACATGAGTTACAAACAACCAGCGAGCAAAGGGAAAGGTTAGAAATAGTAAAGTAAAAGGCCTGCGATCAGCTATCATGGAGGATTACAGTTGTTGGATATGTCAAGAGGAGATGAGTAGTAAGGCTTCTCTTCTTCAACATTATGAAAACCATATGAAATTCGTATGTGAAGACATTTCTTAAGTTACACTGTAAGAAACGTTTCGGTTCTGTTGCCTTTTTCCTTATTGAATTTCTGGATCAATTTAGGTTTCGGTGAAACTGCCCACCTACCCCTTCCCTAAGCTAACATTAACACTTACTTCTCACTTAGGGCAAAATGATGGCTTAGGGGAGGGGTAGTTAGGCAGTTTCCCAGAAACCTAGATTGATCCGATTTTATTTTGTGTTCCATGATAGGATTTGTTCAGATTTAAACGACTTTTGGAGGGCCGTTCTCTTAACAAATTTGTAAAGATAGCTTTACATTTTACTAACGCTTAGCTGAGGCAATATTAGCTGGCAATATTTAGGGAGATTTTTGCTTGCAGGTCTGGTGCGACTTACTGTGGAATTGAAAATCGATGAAGGAAACATAAAGTAATTAAACAGCATTTGAAATTTGGTCGAAGGCAAAAAAACTAACTGTTGTTTGTCATATTAAGGACTAAATAGAATGTCGCTGTGCCAAGTTTTTCAACTCTTTCGATTAAGATATTGAAGTTAAACCAATTTAAAATTGAAGTGGGCGGATACTGGGCAAAAAACTGAGCACTTAACATTTGGAAGCAAATTTCGGCAAAAATTCTGACAAATGGCACTGAACTTCGAAACCTTTCCGAAAAGAGGAATGGGTTGGAGTGGTACCATTTGCAAAAACACCAGATAACGAGTGGGCCTGGTTTAAGAGAAATCACCTCCTGCCTTAAGAGGAAGCATATCACTGGTCAACCAGAAAAATGGTACAAATAATTTCCATCGTTTTAGTAAAAACAGGAAAAAGGTAATACCTCATAAGGTATCACTTTTTTCGGAAAATTTCCACCTGGATGTACCGTTTCATTTGAATTCTTCCTGGAATTTTCTGTACAAATGGTAAGCGCTCATTGTATCCCTAACTTTTTGTTATTAAGTGAAATACAGGGCAGGGTTCATCCCATCATCGGACCTAGATCCAAGTTTTGTTTAGTTATGGTTACATTTCGGTGATGGATCCATTTATGACTTGTGTTGGAAACGTTTCGCTCCTGTGATAAAATACAATGTATAGCTAATTAACGACGGCATGCATACAATTTTAACGTTCTTGAGCGAAAGCTTGCCGCTCGCCCCTCACACACGCTCTCGATCTATTGAGGATTTTAATAATTATCATAGGGTAATATTAGTGATAATATAGCTAGACAAAGTTACTGGTTTAAACATGCGAAACTGTAGTTTAATTTTAAAACAACAAGTATGTGTTATACAATTGAATGTTTAATAGACTGTCTTGTTCTCATTCCTAACCTGTCCCCAGGGTCCTCTCCTATTGGTCCCCAGGAGCGGAAGTAGAAGACAGGGAGGACCCTTGCAAACGTGATTGGTTCTCATCCCAGCCAGCACGATTGTAAGCAACGACATTCTCGGCGTCCATATATTTAAAGGCAGGAATTTTTAACATTGGTCATAAAGCGCTAAAACGTTTCTAGCGTAACTGGTCATGCAGAGGAGCTTCTTAGGCCTTCACGTGATTTGTCTCATGGCAGAGAGCTCCCTTACAACCTTTCTTCCATCTTGAAAAGAGTTTACAGCAAGGAGCCCAAAAGTGTGACCTTCCTTCACCTCCATTCACATTCTTTCATGTAGAAATTAACCAATCAGAAGTCGAGGACAGTTTCCAGCTGCCTTCTGACCGGATTAAGGGCCTATTTACATGGAGGTGGGGGACCCCAGGTAGGTGAGGTAATATTTGGCGAGTCACCCCACCTATCATGTAAACGAGATGAAATTAAAATGAGAGGTTATATGTACAGGCGGGTTACCCCATCTAAGCGGGTTACCTGACCTACCTGGGGTACCCCACCTCCATGTAAACAGGCCCTAAATCTGCGCGAAAGAATGTGAATAAATAGCCTCGAGAAACGTCCCTCAGCGGCGATGAGCGAGGAGAAACGTCCGTCGTTCACAAGCTAGTGAATAAATCAAAAGCGGTCACACTTTTGGGCTCCTTGCTATTAGAGGCCGAAATTAGAGTTTTCTTCTTCAGATCTCTTTTAACTGCAAAGTATTGAAAATAACCGTTATAGCTGCAGAAACGCGAAGAAAATTCTCAATTGCTTCTTGAAAAAAAAATTAGCTCAATTATATTACTCCATGAGGACCTTCCGGTTGTAAATGTAAATGCAGTGCTAATCCGGTCATGGATTACGATCAGCACCTGCACTTCCTAACCAACGGTTCCTGTTGTTAGTTAAATCATACAACACGGAAAGTTTAAAATGTTTTTGGAAAATTTTCAAGGTTCGGGAATTTCGGCATGGGATTTTTGGGGGTTCATTTTTGGTAGAGGGATTTTTTGGGTTTTGTTGGAAGCCCTGCAAGGGATGGTTTTGGGTTTTGATTTTCCTTCCCATTTGTTCATCCCCGTCACTTGGAATTCGGAGTACCCCCTCCCCCCCGGACATTCAGACTTTCATTTGCGACCACCTCTCAAAAGCGAACACCTATGACCACTTGTAGGTTTTCAATGGATTCAATTGTGATTTTGGGGTTTGTTCCACAAAAAAAGGGGAGGAATAGAACTTTTTAGCTTGTATTCCCATTTCCGTCAGACCACGTGATGGTACCCCAGAGAACTGTTTCTTTCAATTGTCGTCCTGCTTATGCACGTGCATCCACATGCACATGTATGCATAATTAATGAAAAGAGAAAAGGCAAATTCCCTGGAGAACATCATGTGGGAAATGAAAACATACAAGAAAAATTGAGAGGCATGGGATCTGCCCCACACTTCCCTACACCAACGACTGTCCCCACAGGAGCCCCCACAGTTTTTTTTGCACTTTCTCTGCAAATTGAAAATCAAGATGTCGGCCTCCGAACAGTCCATTTATTCTACGTAAAACCTCACTTGTTGTTTTATCTTTTCTTACGCTTGTGATATAATCAACACGTTAACGTCTTGTTACATAAGGGAGGTAAGTTTCTTTTTAAATATGTTATTCATACCTGTTGTTGATAAGTTTATCTCAGCGATGAAGTGTGTCACTTGCATGGTGTAGGAGTTTTCAGCCGCTCAGAATCTAATTTGAACACATTTAGGGATAATTTAAAAGACAAGAACCTTCCAGTGGCTTGTGCTGCTTAATAGTGGTGTCTAAGAAACGACCACCTAGAAAACGGAAACCTGTTACCCAGATGATGAAAACTATTCTTGCATACATAAAATCTTATCAAGCTATAATACTCGTCACAAATCGTTGAAACAGGAGCCATTTGTCTTGAATTTTTTCCAAACTTCTTACATTCACTCTTCACATCTTTGTTCTCACTCAAATGTGCCCCTCTCCTTCCCCAATGTTGTTCCGAGCGTATTTTGGAGCACTGAAATGACTGCAAACCCAAATCAACATTGGGAAGGGGAAAATCACACAAGTGTTTCAAGATTTGTGACTAGGATTGTAGAACGTAGTGTTAAACGTTCGTCTTTGGCATGGGACAAAATAACAATAACGTCGAGCGTCACACAGAATCAGTGACTATGGACAGAGAGAAGGATGTTGATGCGATGTATAGAAAGATTCAACATCGTACACCGTCTTGTTATAGCCTGAAAAAACAGCCGACATTTCAGGACGCCACCACTGGTTCCCCTGAGAAATGGCATCTGAGAAATGAGCGCAGAAATTCCGTACTGATGATGTATCAGTACCTAGCTCTGGGTATTGACACATCATCAGTATCGAATTTCTGCGCTCATTTCTCAGATGTCATTTTGCGGAGGAACCAGTGTTGGCATCGTGAAATGTCGGCTGTTCAATTTGACCTGTTACCATTCCTCCCAGCTCAGCAACCCCTTTGACAAGTCCAGTCCTTTGCTCCCAGGGGTGAGGAATTAGTGATTTTACACAACAGTATGGCAGGAAAAAGAGGACAGCAAATGTCACAAACGTGACAGGGCCATTACTTTCACGTTTTGTTCTAATCTGCACTTAAAATTAATGTTTTCTGGTCATTTACAAACAGATCGGTTTTTTGTTTGAAATGGTCGTGTCTGCAGGGGTAGGGGGTGAGGCAAATAAAAAAATAACTTCTCTTTGATTTTGCACACTACTATGTGTCACTTCTGATGTGGTTTGTATGATAGCTACAGACCTAAAGACTACGTTTTTTCAAGGGCAAATGCAGGAGTTTGTCGAAGAGTGATTGGAGAGGAATAACCTGTGAAATTATAGACTTTAATTGAAGTCATGTCTTAAAATTTCAAATGAATGTTCGTTAACAGATGCTTACTCAAATGGGTTTTTTCGCAAAAGAAAGAAAAAGATATTTCTTCAGCCTAGGGTAATAATAACACAACTTTTAAAGACTGTATATGAAAACGCATACAAGGATTTCATATAGAAATATATATACAGTAAAACCCTGCCTTATGGGCACCTCGGTAATGCGGTCACTTCTCTTTGGCCACCTGGCAAAACGGCCATACATTCTCTTGTAAAAAACCCCTTGTTAATATGGTCACCTGTTAATACGGCCAAATTTTTTTGGCCATTTTGCCTGAGTTTACGGCATCAGTCATGGGTGCATGACATGTCTTTCATAGCTCTGCCATTATTGGCAAAACATTTTTCCCTGTGTAGACATCAACACTTATGGCAACCTTAGAAGAAATTAAAATGAAAACTTCAGTGGATTATATGTCAACAAAGAAATGCAAATCCACTGTCAGAGTTAATAATTGCATACAACATCTTATCTAGCTATTGTACTCTTTGACTGCAGTTTATGTATGTGTGAGTTTGTGTGTGATGGCGTGTTTTGCTCTTGATTCGGCTAGGTGAATTTGAGGTTGATCAGGAGCTTAGGGGTTTGGAATTGTCTCTTTTTGTGTGCCTTGGGGTGTTGTTAACTACTATTGATTCATTTTTGTGTCAATAGGAACTATAACCAAAAGACGATACCGGAAGCACTTGATCAATGTCCTTTAAGTGTGAAAGTGTTTACACTGAGGAAAAGCGTTATGAATGTAAACAGTGTGGAAAGTCTTTTAGCCGATCAGAGGAACTGAGGAGACATGAAAGAGTTCACACTGGGCTAAAGCGTTATGAATGTAAACAGTGTGGCAAGTGTTTTAGTGTAGCAGGAACCCTAAGGAGACATGAAAGAGTTCACACTGGGGAAAAGCCTTATGAATGTAAACAGTGTGGCAAGTGTTTTAGCCGAGTAGGAAACCTAAACAGTCATGTAAGAGTTCACACTGGGGAAAAGCCTTATGAATGTAAACAGTGTGGCAAGTGTTTTGGTCAAAGAGGAAACCTAAGGATTCATGAAAGAGTTCACACTGGGGAAAAACCTTATGAATGTCAACAGTGTGGCAAGCGTTTTAGACATCTAAATGCCCTAAGGGTCCATGAAATAGTTCACACTGAGAAAGTGCATTACAAATGTAAACAGTGTGGCAAGTGTTTTACACATTTGAATGCCATAAGGATTCATGAAAGGGTTCACACTAAGGAAAAGTGTTATGAATGTAAACAGTGTGGCAAGTCTTTTAACCGACCAGAAGACCTAAGGAGACATGAAAGAGTTCATACTGGGGAAAAGCCTTATGAATGTAAACAGTGTGGCAAGTGTTTTATCCACACAGAAAACCTACGGAAACATATAAGAGTTCACTCTGTAAAAAAGCCGTATGAATGTAAAATTTGTGGAAAGTGCTTTAGCCAAAAAGGAGACCTAACACGTCATGAAAGAGTTCACACTGGGGAAAAGCCATTTAAATGTAAACAGTGTGGTAAGTGTTTCAGTCTAGTAGGAAACCTAAGAAGTCATAAAAGAATTCACACTGGGGAAAAGCCATTCGAATGTAGACAGTGTGGCAAGTGTTTTAGTCAAATAGGAAATCTAAGGAGCCATGAAAGAGTTCACACAGAGGAAATGCTTTATAAATGTAAGCGGTGTGACAAGTGTTTTGGAAATTCAAAGACCTTAAGGATTCATGAAGGAGGCCATACTGGAGAAAAGCCTTATGAATGTAAACAATGTGGCAAGTGTTTTACCAAAAGTGGAAAGCTAAAAACACATGGAAGATCTCATACTCCAAAACGGTCAGGTAAATATTCCCAAAGAAAGGCAAGATTGACTTATTCTTTGGCTACGCTAGTTGAAAAGGTCACACAATCTGAAAACAAAGCGCTAATACAGAAAGAGAGTGGAAACAATAGTATGGAAGGCTTAGAATCAGCAATCTTTGAGGAACACAGCTGTTGGATTTGTCAAGAGGAGATGAGTAGTGAGGCACTTCTTCTTCAACACTATGAAAACCATATGAGATACATTCCTGAAGATGACTCGTAAGTTTTCGGACATTTGGGTCCTTTCTGTTAAATTCATAAAGCTTAGAACACTAAGTTGTAAGTTTCAAAGTAAAAGCAGTGTTTACATGGGTGTTTGTAAAACCAGAACAGGCCTGAAAGACAATGAAACAGCAGTGTTTACACGGGTGTCTGTAAAACTACAACAGGCCTGGAGGACAATGAAACACATTCCCACTCCCCCCCATCACCGCCTTGATCTACAGTAAAAACCAGGGAGTAAGAACCTAGTTTTAGAGAATCTGTTAGGCTGAAATTTGCCAATTAAGCTCCCTCTACAGAAGAACTTGTTTAGCGTTAAATTTGTTTAGCCTTAAATTCTATTAAAAAAATTCTGTACGCTTGGGCAAATTCAGGATCCTCTTTGAAGACAGGCGTTTTATCACTCCAATTGCAATATTATGTCATTATGACGATTTTATCTTAGGACGAAGCTGAATACCACCAAATACTCTTAGCTACAATGTTTTTCCTTCAAAAAAGAAGTTCTAAGCTATTTAAGAACCTAAATAAACAACACTTATGCCAATTACCAGTTAAGTAAGAACCTGTTTAGGCTAGCTTGGGAAAATGCAGGTTCTTAGTCGTCGGTTTTTACTGTATTTGATAAAGCTCTAAGGAAAGTTCTGTGAAGCGTAATTTTCAGTAAGTTTCGTTACTGGTGAACCGTAAATGACAGTATAAACACTTTTGGCGTCTTTTCAATTTGAGGTGCCGTGGGGTCAAGCGGAGGTGAGAAGCGTTTGTTTTCATTACTGTAACAAGTTCAACAAAACTAATATGCTTTAGGCAAAAATATCAATGGAGTTTGAGAAAAGCCGAATATCCACTTCATCGTCTAGGCCGTCTAGAGATCCATATTGCTCTGTCAAATCCCAAGATGTTAGTCTATCCTTATTTTGCAGTTAACGTTGAACAAGATGAAAATTGGTAGAATTTTGGAGGAGGCGTTAATTGGAGAGGGGCAACAGCCTAGATGAGGCGTTCCAAAGATAGGAGGCATTTATATGGAAGAGGGTGTTTATTACGTCATTTATGGTAGTCGATTGAAAAATTCGGATAGCGCTTCTATTGCGGGAACTAATAAAACTCATATTGAGTCAATTATATTAGTGCGTTTCTGTAGATGGACAGAATAATACTTTTGTAGACACAACTGTTGATGATTAAAAAAAATTGGTTTTAGGTTTTTTGGAATTAAATCATCTACACGTTTTGTAGCTTGTGATTATGTAGTTGTATTTCTAACTCTTTGTAGCTGTTTCCAGGTTTCAGGATTATTGCAAGCGTTCTAATAAAAAAGAAAATATTATGCAAGTTTTAGCTTCCACAAAAGCGACCCTAAATGTAATTTTAAAAGTCCTGCCCCCAGTTGTTCAAACGATGGATAGCGTTATCCACCGGATAAATCACTATCCAGTGGATAAATATTAGGGAAACCAATTGCGCCACCCAGTGGATAGAGATTTATCCAATGATAGTATTATCCACCTTTGGAACAGCTGGGGCCTAATGTATTAATTTTTTTCTCTAAATGTAATAAACTCTTTACAGTGATAACGTTAGGCTTTAAATGTTTTGACGTCATCTGTAATTTCTGCAAATAAGCCTCTCTCCTTGCGCGCCCCTCGCGTTTCTCTCAAGCCCAAAAGCCCCTTTTCTTTCCCTCTTTTCGAGCGACAACAAGCCCAGATGACCTACGAACGACGCACGGCAAACGAAAGGAAGACCATGGCACTAGAGTTGGCCGGGAGAAAGGCCGAAGAGCAACCAGCAGACCTCGAGGCGGCCGGGCCCAGCCACCGACCATCAGCGTTGCAGACTTCGTGAAACTCTTGGCGGAGGACAGCACCCTACAGAAGCCTTCCATTTCCCTAGGATGTGTTCAAGCAAACTTTCCTGCCGGAAGACCAGGTGTAGTTACCATTTGTATGGAAAACCCGGAAATTCCGGGGAGAATTCAAATGGAATGGTTCATCCCGGTGGAAATTTTCCGTAAAAAAAGCATTACCTTTCGAGAAAGAATATCAAGAGAGACTTGGAGTGCTGAAATGGCCTTCGCTTGAGTTACGAAGGACGTTTATCTGCTTAGTGTAGATGTACAAGATTATTTTCGGACACTGTGACATAGATCCTCATATGTTTTACTGACTTTAAAGGAGCCTTGTCACGAAATTCAGCCAAATTAGGTAATTACAAAATGCCCGTTATATTAAGAGAAACGTAAAAATAACTGTTTAAAACATTAAAAGAAGGTTAAAATAACACAACAGATACAACAGATGCAACGGACGGGCAAAACTGAAGAAGATTGAAACGGTTGAAATTAGGGTTTTTGAAAACTGTTCAGCCCAACAGTTTTTCAAAGTTGATCTCTGCTGTTTGCAACTTCAAAAATAGTGCTCATAAGACATATTTGTTTGTCTCGAATCTCTGATTTTGTCATTTCCATGTAATTTCTTGCCTACTTTAAGTTCGATACCGATTGAGGGCGAGTAATTGGCAAATTAAACAAAATGAACTGGACTTCCGTGACACAGCCCCTTTAATGTATTAGCGAAAACGCGTATGAACCATAAGTTTAAGATAAGACCTAAGAAGACACGTACAAATTACTTTAAATTTTCATTTTTTAATCGCTACATAACAGACTGGAATAGTATTCCATCGAACAGTATGCACGCACCTTCATTAAGCAGTTTTAAGTCCTATCTGTTGGATCATTTGTGTCAATTTTAAATCAGGTGTAACTCGTGAGGGACAAGTATGCAATTTAATTAGGTTAGTTTTAGGCCGCATTTAAATTTTACTTCTTAATTTTTAGCATGTTTAATATTGGAGATTATTCTTTGTATGGGAATTTAGTTTCCCGCAATTATTCTCCATTCATGCACTTTTTGTATTTTTTGTAATATTATTTATTTACTTGTAATAGCATGACAAAGTATTATTAAACTTAAACTTAAACTTAAATTACCTTTTTCCCGTTTTTTATCGAAAGGACCAAAATTTTCTTTACCATTTGTTTGGATTACCAGTGCCAGGCTTCAAGTGGGGAGAAAGCGAAAAATTTACCGGTATTTTCTAAATGGTACAACTCAATCCCGTTCCTGTTTTCGGTGCCAAAAAAATACCAGTACCATTTGACGGAAATTTTTCACCGAAATTTCCGCACAAATGGTAACCGTTCCAGGTCCTTCTTTGTGGTACAGATGTGCTGCGTGGAAAATGAGCGCGGGGGGAGATGGGAAGGAGGGGAAAAGGGTCTCTTGCTATTTCCCGCTATCCTTCCCATCGTCCCTGCGACCCTGTTCGTGACCGCTTACAAATGATAAGAGGCAGGATGGGCTCCTGTAAAAGGCGATGGGGAACGAGTCAGCCACCACAGTCTTAGAATTTTTGGGCATGAAAACTGAAATCCTATTTAATTTTGAAAAAGTGTTGACGAACCAGCCGAGTTGGTATCTCAACCGATGAGGTTGTCATATCCCTTCAGGAGATTTTGGACCAGCTCCCAGGGGGGTACTCCGGATTTCAAGCGACGGGGATGATCGAAGGATTTTTTTTGGTTTGAAATTTTCGATTTTGGGATTTTTTTTGGGTAGGAACGTTTTGGCAAGTATTATTTTGGGTAACTCGGTATAAGTAGGAATTTTTTTTTTCTTTTGGCGGGGGGGGAGGGGGGGGGTATTTTTCGTGTTATATAAGTTAATGCTCTCGTGAAATTTTAATGGCTCGGAAATTCGCCATGGGATTTTTTGGGGGTTAAATTTTGGTGCAGGGATTTTTTTGGGTTTTGTTTGAAGCCCAAGGGATTTGGGGGGTTTTGATTTTAGCCGCCATTCGATCATCCCTGTCACTAGAAAATCGGAAGTACCCCCCACTGGGGACCAGCTACAGTCTTGGTGTCTAAAGAATAAGCTAATTTTACTTGCGGGAAAATCTGATGCTTTAATTTTAGATACACATCTTTCTATTGGCCCTCTGAAGCCCCTATTATGGGGAGATAAAATTACTCCTCTATATGCCTTGGTTTCACCATCGATGATAAGCTGTCTTGAGCCAAGCATATACAGTCTGTCTCCACATCTTTTAGCTCTAAAGTTAAACTTTCAAGGCGTATAAGCTTTCTATCCAGAGTCTCACTAAAAACAATTTATTATAAAACAGTTATTTCAAGTGTACTATGTGCCTTAGCTGTGGGGGGTTCTTGCTCTGATCATTTATTGAAAGACCCAGACCAGATGCATCAGCTGATGCCAGTGGCGGATCCAGGAGAGGGGCCCGGGGGGCCCAACCCCCCTTGTTTTCGAAAAAAATTTTTTTGGAGATGCCCCCCCCCCCTCCTTATCTGAAGGTCTGGATCGCCACTGCATGCATACAAGAGCTTTATATATATAAGCTACTAAGAGATGTGGAAAATGAAACTGATTGTCCTCTAAAATGCTAAATGGATGTCGTTAAAGTATTTCTATTGTTTCCGTATTTTAACGATCGCACTTTACGCTTTTTATAATCTAGATTTAGATGAAATCAATAGATTACCCCTTGCAATTATACTCTTGGGAAATATCTTCATGTATCTATTGTACAAGGACCGAACTGGGGCGTACATCATTTACACATAGGGCAGCAGTTGCTTGGAACACACTACAGGGGCACCCAACGACCGTTTTCGGGGAAATATCTGTTCGGAGCCCTCTAGAATGGCTAAAATTTTCGTGAGCCCAAGAACAGCTAAAAATTTCGAAAATGTTTCGTGGTGACTGTTCGTTGGGCTCAGAGTTTCGGGATTTGTGTGGTTTGTTCACCTAAGAATTTCGGATTTTGTAGTAATCTCTAGATCACCTAGAAATTTCGTAGCTTTCGTAGTAATCTCTAGATTCTGATTTCGGCATCTAGAAATTTCGTAGCTTTCGTAAACTAAGAATAGAGCAAAATTTTTAAACCTGGCAGTCTCATTAGCGAAAATTTCACACAATTGATTTAAAACCCAACGACCCTTTTCTGAGGGTACCAGGGTTTCTATACATTCTACGTCGCCCTAGAAAATTCGGAGACATTCTCACACTAGATAAAGTTTTCGGAGAAAACCTGAAAGGACTCCTAAAAATTGCGGTCAAGGGAAAAGCTCGTCAGGTAATCTTACGTTTTCGGAAAGCTTTCACTGTAGGCTGTTATTTTCGGGAAAGGCGAAAAACAGCCCTAAAAAATTCGAGAGGTTCAAACCACTCCTAGGACGACCGAACAGATTCAATTTTTTTTAGCGATGCGAATTATTCATTTATATTGCTTTTAAAGCACTCCAGGATGCATAACGAGCCATTTCAGATCATTTCCCAGAAAACGGTCGTTGGGTGCCCCTGACACTACCTGATGTCATCAAACAACATGACAACCCGGAGACCTTTAAAGGGGGACTTTAAAAGGAAAATTAAATCGATTAAAAAATCTAATTGGGAACATTATGTTTGGTAAAGAGTTCTCTCTAATGTATAACATCATGTATAAAGACCCAAAGTTTAGGTATTTTTAAATTTTCAGTTCTACAATGTAAAATGTAGATAATATTTTTACGTTAGGTATTTTTAATCTATTTTGTTGTAGATACATTTGTTTCGAACTAGCGAGTTCATGCCCCCACAGAAACAAATATGTACTCCCGGGGGGGTACTCCCATATATGTAGGTACGTGCCGCAGAATAGGGTATGGTTTTTGAGGTTCTCGGTCCTTAAATAGGGTATCTTTTTTGACCCTTTTGTTTCTGGGTCCCTGGTGTGGTCCTTAGATAGGGTAGCTTAATTGTATTATCTAATACTGCAGTGTGAAAACGCCCGCCTAAAGGAACATTTTTTTTAAAAACTAGGCTTATTCTAGTATTTTATGCTTGATGCTATACATCCAATGTTACAGAGAAGAAGTAAAGTTTTCTTTTTCATGCTATTAATAATTTTGTTTTTTCGTTGAATAGGGTGTCATTTTTCGGCTTTCGGCTTTAAAAAGAGTATCAGTTTTCGCTTTCTTAGTCCTTAAATAAGGTTAGGGTTCACGAACCTTCGCGGCACACCCCTATCCAAAATTCACGAGAGTACCCCCCCCCCCGGGTATGTACTTCAGAACTCTGGAGTAACGTAACTAAGACATAATCCATCTATTGCCTAGATACAATCTCTTAACGCATCTCTATAACAACCACCAAAATTTTACTGCCAGCTTTTAATTTTAACGGTCAATCGTTGAAGTTCCCTACGAAATAGCACTGTCGCAATAAACGATCGATGATTACTCCTGAAGCCTGAACTCCTGTGAAGTTAGTAATACATTTGTTTCTACTGTATTCGTTTCTTATCAAGAGAGGATAAAGGGGACAGAGAAGGCATCCTCCATACCCACCCTATTCCATAGGTAATTCGTCTCGAGTTATTTTTAGAATCGGGATAAAGTTACCTCGCGCGCTGCGTGGATGTTTTGTGGAGGTTTCGCATGACTAAACGCCGTGCAAAACATGTCGGGCGAAAGGCAATGAAAGCGTAAAGAGATCGAGAGCATTTCTGAATATTGAAGCCAAATGAGTCGGCGCTCACCTGGGAAAAGGGAATCGCTGGACTTTTTGAGAACCCGTGAAACCAGTTTAACTCGAAGTTGTCGTAACTTCAGTGCTTTGATACGTAGCCTGCGTGGCAGGCGCAAAAAGGGGAGGGGGAGGGGGGAGGGAGAAAGGGAAAAGGGAAGGGAGCGCCTGCTCTAAGAGCCTATGTTTTTGCATAACGCCTACCAATTTTCTAGTAATCCGATTACGCTTACTGTCAATCAAGTGTCGCTACACTCGCCATTGCAGAAAAACATCACACTCACGCACTAGAAATTCGCTTAGTTATTCAGAGCTAGAAGGCACTTTGGAGAAAATTGGAACCCTTATTCAGCCGTAATAAAAAAAGCTTTACGCTTCAAAAGAGGTCAAAGAAATTGCGCTTGCATCAGAGGGCAAATCCTGCCGACCAGAAAACAATAACTACAGTCAATCGATATGTATGTCATGACCTCTCAGTGTGAGACATGCGGCTAAAATAACATTTGCTCAGTATAAATGCAGAACCTTCCGGAGCATCTACCCAGCAGATAAAAACAATTTTATTGGAATAAGTAGCATTTTGGCATGAGGTAAAACCACCCTCTTTTATTGCTAAGTTACATCGGCGAATGTCATCGTTCGATAAATTGGCTAAATCTTTCGCTGGGTAGCCCAACAATTCCATCTCCTGCAACTGGTCTTCGATAATACTTTTCTGTGGCGAAATGACGAGAATCGCCGCATTACCATTTAGCTCGTAGTTCTTCTCGCGTACAAACCTTTGGTAAATTAAACTCTTGCCGTATCCGGTCCGCAAAACCGCCAGAACATCTCTGTCGGCTAAAAGAGCCCTTACTGCTGATTCTTGCTCTGGTTTTAAAACAGTTTCTCTACCACTAGATAAATTCTCATCTCTCAAAGCACTCTCTACGACATCCACGTCTACCGCTGCCATCTCGACTGTTTGTTGATTTGTGAAACGCGCATTTCAATATGTTACTCATTACGGCTCAGCCAATCAGGAATTTGCGGACGCCAGCGTCCGCAGACATGAACAAAAGGGGGTTCTTAGAGCAGGCGTCCCCTCCCCCTCTCCCCAATCCCCCTCCCCTTTTTCCCTTCCTCCCTATCCCCTACCCCCTACCCCTTTCGACGCCTGCTACGCAGGCTATTTGATAAGTATGTGTAATCAAATGGTGACGAGTGAAATTAGGGAATAATTTCACGCGCGTTTTGTCCAAATCCTGATAATTTCCCGAGCCTATAGGCGAGGGAAATTATTATTATTTGGACAAAACGCAGGTGAAATTATTCCCGAATTTCACGAGTATACCATTTGGTTACCTATTAATATCATGGGTGACGAATTACGTTAGCAATCTTGGATTTTTGACATGTTTATCCTGGTTAGTATCGATCGAGAACTCCACTCTCTAAAATGTTTAGACTTTAAATTTGGCTTATAAATTCAGACTTTTTCAGACTTTTTCGGCAAAATACCTGTTAGAATCCTTCTTGATGTTCTCTTGTGTGTTCAGGTTTTCTAAAGCGTCTTTTTGTGCCCTGACAGCTTCATTCACGGCATTTTAAAACTTCGTCGCCATTTTGACACTGAGACGTACAGAAGGGTTGTCATGGCAATTTTGTACTAGTTTCACATGTGAAATTACAAATTAACGCTGAAATTTCGCGCCAAAATTAAGGAGTAATTCGTCACCTATGATATTAAATGAGAAATTTCGCCGGTCTGTTGAAACCGGTCGTTTGTACAATAAAGCAAGTAGGACGCCAAGTGTTTAATTTTGTTGAATAATAAAAGACTAATAAAAGAATAAATATCAAACCAGAAATTGCTCTCTTCAAACTGTAAATTATAAATGATCCTGAGAGGGGGATGCCTTCTTTGTCCCCTTTATCCTCTCTTGTTTCTTATTTATTTGTTGTATTATGAATTGTCTTAGTTCTTAGTTAGCAGGTCCACAGCAGCTTTATAGTTGCCTACTTTATTAACCTGCTTTATCAAATAAATGTATGTATGTATGTGTGTATATGGAAACTCGCAAAGTTGTAGTAATAAAATGATGCACTACCTCTGAAGTCTTGGACCAGTTTATCATAATTATGTATGTACCAGACATCGCTCATTATTTAGTGATAGTGTGAAACGTTACCTTAGATTTTGTTTGAACAACAGAGGTATTTTTCATTTCCTTCTAGCGCGTAGCTTTTGTGCAGTGCATGGAGTCAGTTTTAAGAGGTCATGAAGCTGTTCTGCTCGCACTTCTTGCGCGCCCGAGATCCCCCTTCCCTTCCCTATTGAACGTTGCCACCGGCAGGCCGGGGTATTTTGCAGAACGCCGAATGACTCTAAAGTTTAGCGTTGGGGAATCAATTCTAATTCACTCAGTTTCCTGACCCTAACCATTAGACTCTGTCGTTCGGCGTTCTGCAATAGAGTACTAAAGTGTGACGTCATAAAAATTAAATTTCTGAAATTAGAGGTCTAGAACAGTGCGGGTCTACATGTACTGAACGACGGCGGCAGCGAAAACATCACCAAAAAAGTGAATTTGCGCCCTTTGAAACTTTATCGCGTCCATTTGGAACCGCTCAATTCGTCAAATGTAGGCGACTTTTTATTGATAACAATAATAATAATGGATTATTAACAGTGTATCGACCTGGTGGCTCTTCACTTGTTAAAAACTACAATATGGAGTTGAATTCTTAAGAGCTCTATCCACGTTCAAATAGAGAAGGGAAAATTTGTCATAGTATGTCATTTGAGCATCGGCGAGCTCATATTTACAAACCCATAAAACCGCCATAAATTGGCCCGTGGACTACACAGGAGAGACGTAACACACATTTTAAGTAAGGTAAGCTGTGTTTCATTGAAATCCTTTCGTTTTCGTAGGTTACCGTAACGATAGGTTTTTTTTCCATACAAATCCTTATATTTCGAACGTTACGCAATAATTCCGATGCACGCCGACTTAGGCTACAAGTAGTCTCCATTGTAGAGCGAGAAAAGCGCATGGGGTGATTTTCACGCGCGCTCGCGTTTCGCTAGCTCTACTATCCCGGAATCTATCCCGGCGGAAAAATGGGGACTACTCGTTGGAATGATAGTTTCAGGCATGTCCGGGGGGGTACTCCCATACTTTACCTATACGGGTATGTGCCGCCCAACGGGGTCGTGATTTTGAAGCTCCTGATTTAGAACGGGGTATCCATTTCAGAGGCGTTTTCTAGAACGGGGTATAAACAATTGTGGATCACGGCTTTATCTTCTTCTTAAAATTGTTGCTGATAATGAAGAAGCATTTATTTGATGTATAAGTCGAGCATATAAAGAAATGTCTTCTTAAAAAAACAGGATAATTACAATTTACAAACCTTCTAGAACGGGGTACAAAAAATTGGCCCATTTCTAGAACGGGGTATCAATTTTAGGGATTTTTTTTTTAGAACGGGGTGCCAATTTGGAGTCCCGGGCGGCACATACCCACCCAAAAAATACCCAAGTGCCCCCCCCCGGGCAGGCATGCCATGCTTCCCTAGTTGTAATAAAGTGCCTTATCGTGATAAATTTGAAAATGCACTAAGATATTAGCATTATACACTAAAAATTTGACTGTGGATTGCAATTAAAAAACAACAAGAATCACTTCGTGAATTTTACCGGGGCCACTTTTGTCTTGGCAACCCACGAGGAAGGGTCGTTTTCATCAACAAGTTCGTCGGGCGACATGAAAATCTTTTTTATAGAAAATGTTAGGGAATCCCCCATTTTGAACAGTTGAGAGTTTTCGCATGTCGCTAACGTAAATATTGCGTGACAAAGGTTATGTGAAACAGTCTTTTTTAGTTTTTCATTAGTTAAAGCAGTGATAGACTTTCTTTTAATGAGTCTTAATTATTTCTCGGCCAATATTTGACGAAGTTTCCTGCAGCGAGTGCGAATTGTAAGGTATTGAAACGCACAAACAAAGTTTCGCGCATGCAAGTTTAATAAGTTAAGATTTTTGTTTTGTCGTAGTGTACACAGTTCAACAGCGACTAAGCTTTGTCATCGTTAGGATGAATACTGTAACAATATTTTTCAATATACGCAGGGATCTCATTTATTGATAAGTAGCAAATATAGTCGCATTAACCATTCCGTTCCAAAACCAATCGAATTAATATTTGGCCCTAAGCCTATATAATGAATAATTAATTTTCTTTGAATTATTTCAATATACTTCTAAATCACAAAGGTAAACAATTATGTCCAGTAAAGGTGAGGGCATAAAAAAGCCCTAGCAATGGTTTAATGCAAATAAGGAAAGAGGAAAGGGCAAGGGCAGGAGGAGGGAAAAAGTAATTTGTTCGCATGGCGATTAGAACGAATGACTGCGTTGCAGCAAAGGTCACATGTAATTAAAACTCCAGAACAATAGATTAGGGTTCAATACATTAACATGAGTCAACTCCCAATCCTAGGCTGTCAAGTTACGCAGTTTTTCTCACGTGTTTAGATCGATTACACAATAATAAGATATTTCTTAGCAACAAGAATCCAAAGTAGCTAAGAATACCAAGAAGAAAAACATAAAAATTCTACATCAACGTCTAATGAATAATGTGAAAAGCCAAAATGTTAGCGTATCCCGCATTTTGAACAGTTGAGAATTTGCGCATCTCGCTAACGTAAATATTGCGTGACAAAGGTTATTTGAAAATATTTTGTTTTGTTGCTTCATAAGTCAAAGCAGTGATAGACTTCCTCCTAATGAGTTTTAATTGTTTGTCGGAAAATATTTGACGAAGTTTCGAGAAGGGAGTGCGAATTGTAAGGTATTGAAACGCATAAACAAAGCTTGGCGCATGCAATGATAAGTTAAGATTTTTGCTTTGTCGTAGTGTACACAGTTCTACTTTGACCAAGCTTTGTCATCGCTAGGATGAATACTGTAACAATATTTTGCAATAGACAGGGATCTCATTTATTGATAAGTGGTAAATATAGTCGCATTAAACCATTCCGTGTGCAAACTAATCGAATTAATATTTACATGGTTACAGTTGTTGCTCCCTAATAATCAAATTTCTGAACCAGCGATATATCTCAGCGAACACTCCCAAAAGTAACGAGCCAGCGTTATATCTCAGTCAGCGATATATCCCTAACAATGTAACTTTGAAAACACAGAAACGCGTTGCATTTTATGACCGGTGCCAGCCTTCGGCTAGGCCCCGGTAATAAAGGCATTAGGTATGTTTATAACGTTATCAGAAAAGTCTAGTCTCAATAGTTTTCGGGCCTCGCTTCTTTCGGGGGTTCGCTATTTCGGGATTTATTAGAAGACAAACTTTAATCAGTTGACGTTACTTTCGGGGCGTCGCTACTATGGGAACTTTACGGTATTGCTTTTTTGACGTTTACACTGCCGTCGCGGTCGTCGGATCGTAATGTATCGGTCAAATCGAAGCTTCAACATACCCCCCCGGGCAACCCCCCGGGCATTTGACTTTTTTGAAAATTATTGTTCAAATTCCCCCCTACCCGGGCCAAAATGCCGTTCAAATGCCCCACGCTAGGGTCCATTCAGGTGATCAAATGCCCCCACCCCGGGGACATTTCACGGGCACAAAAATGACAGAAGGACGGCGGAAACGCCTTCAGTTGTCGAACAAAATCTTTATAAATATAACAAAAACTGAGCAACACTGCTAGCGTATTTACTACGAACAAAAGTCTCGTGCAAAGCGGCGGAAATCGCTGCTACAAGGTCACTGAATGCTCAGCTTTTCTTTGTCATGCAACATACAAAGCGTTTTATAAAAAATGATCCCACCTACTGAGATTACTACATCATGACCATTTCACTGACATGCATCATTGCTCACCTTATTAATTAACATACTTGCAGTAGGTCAAAGTAGTTGACCGTTTTATTTTATTTTATTTTATTTTTATGTTGTTGTACTGAATCGCCTGTATAGGTATTGTACTTCATTGTAAACACAACAATAAAATACATTCATACATTTAAAGCCTGAATCCAATATTAAAAATTTTAAAATTTAAATACTTCAAATACAGCACTAAGCTTGTTCAAGCCCTTTCCTCGTAACCAATTGGCCACAAAGGCACAATCTTTTCCACGAAAATCCTCTAACACCGCGTCCCCCATGATAGCTCGCCACGCCAAAGATTTTACATGAAATCGAGGGTGGAGTTCAAATTCCCCACCCCTAAAGCATGGGGATCAAATTCCCCACCCCCTGGAAGACTTTGATGATCAAATTCCCTCCTCCCCGGGACGGCAAAGGTGTCAAATGCCCGGGGTATGCCCGGGGGGGGGCATGTTGAAGCTTCGATTTGACCGATACATAAGGTCCCTATTTTTTGCGCGGCCTTTGAGTCTCGTTCCCCGTTCAGGTTTGCTTCGTAACCGCACGGAAACAGCGGAAACGTTTGGTACAATGGAGGTCATAGACGAGAGACGAAACCACGGAATTATCCCACAGGGTCCCCGACAGTATATTTTTATTGCACTCTCACCAGTCCTCTAACGGTGTAAAATCAAGATGGCGGCCATTGTAAGCAGTCCGCGTGTAAGCAGTAAACCTCTCTTGTTGATTTCATCTTCTCTTACCCGTGTTGGTTAATGCAACAAGGCAATATCTTGTCATGTAAGGTAGGAAAGCTTTAAATATGTTATTGCTACGTCCAGTTTTTAAAATTCAGTTGTACCGGTTAGCTAGCCTTCTGAGGAAAAATGTCGGTCGTTTCGCCTACAAGTCTTCTCGCACACACTGAAGTCGATACGCCATGGTCTATTAAGCTGCTTTTAAGACTTTTTTGATACATTTTGTACTCGGCGCTTAACAAAAACTACAAAATGCGGCCCAGTTTGAGATGGATTTTGTTAAGTGCTCAGCCGATTTTACTTTCGGATCCACGATCAATCCCAAACCCGTACGTTCGAAATTTCTCACGAAAGTCCTAGGATTTTTCGAGAATTCCCGAGAATCATTGACGGTAATTCCTGGAAAATTCTTTCGCGTTAATTTGGGCCAACATTCCTGAGAATTCTCAAGACCAATATCTCAGCGCAATAATTTTGTGTTTGTGTCAAATCGACTCCAAAGTCGGTTAACCGGATGACATGAAATGACCTGTCCCCTCGCTGCAAAAATGGGCCCCATTGAAGGGAGAATGGAACGCGCAAAGGTAAGGTATTTCTTGATTGAAGTAGCGAGCCTCAGAATCTGTCAGCCTTTTTTTTGCTTTGTATTTAGTCCACCAAATGGGGTCATGGTCCTAGGCATTCTATACCTGCCAACTTTTTCTGAGATGTAGGCGTGAGATTTTTATCCTGGGAGTGCTGGGATTTTTGAAAACGACACGATCATTTCCGAAGATTCCCGAAGAAGTCCGAAGTCTTCCGAAGACGTCCGAAGTCTGCCGAAGGCGAAGTTATCGAGAAAACGCTTATCCACAAAATCAGAGATCGCGAGGAAGGTATTGTCATTTATTCATTTTACACATGGTTTTCTTTCCTTAAATGGGTCTGAGTTAACATATTTTTGGAAATTGTGTCAAGCAAGACGGCAACAACTCACATTTTTCAATCAGGCGTGAGAAATCGGTCCGCAGGCGTGAGCGGGCGTGAGATCGAAGTTTTCAACCCGCAGGCGTGAGACTCACGCCTAAGGCGTGAGAGTTGGCAGGTATAGCATTCCCAGTGGAGACCATGGAACTGGGGATAGGATCGCGAGTTTACCTACGACATGTCAAGGCCATGCACTTAGGCTAAGATACAAATATCACGAAAAATCACCTGAATTTGTTTCTGGAAATTCCGGATTTTTTTTTTAATATCTCAAAATTTGTTTCTTGAAAAAGTTCTCAATATCTCAAAAATATCTGGCTTCATTAAATAAATATTACAGTAAAAACACACAAAAAAGCCTATCATCTATAATGGCAACACAAATTTCAGGAAATTATATTCTTGTACAGCCTACAACAAAACTCTAAACAATTCCACATAAAGTCAGCCTTATTTACAGTGCCCTTCAACCTCCAAGAAGACTAGGGCACTGCACTTTAATACAGGCAGAGTTCGTGAAAGACCATTGGGTGCTGGAGGTCTAAAGTGGTCTAAAAGGGACACTACTGTTTGGTTTGTGCATGGCTCAGGGGGTACGTCATCAGCCATATTGTTGAGCATTAGCCACATTACATAATATTATAAATGGAAAATATTGTTGAATCTGATTACAACAGGCCCATATGTGGAGAATTGTTTGAATTTCTGTCACTGAAATGCCAATGCCACAATTAGCATTGAAGTACATTGTAGCTTCCTAGAAAAAATATGATTTGAGTACTTTTTCTGTAACAAAATTCTAAATATCACAATTTTTTCCTAAATATCACGAGATTTTCTAAATATCTCAAAATCCTCTAAATATCTTAAAAATATCTGGATATTTGTATCTAGGCCTACCATGCATGTTTTGTGAAGAAAGCGTTGAAAAGATTTTAAAATGCAAAAGATGTCCAGCTTTTCCAGAACAGGTCTGTCCACAATTGAAAATAGTCTTGTGGTGAGCATGAAGTTTATGTTCGGCGATGATTGAAATGATGCACCATGTTTATCACATTTTGACTCTTTGGCAATGATGTAACTTCTCTTAAATGGAGTCCCTTGATTTTTGTGTATTTATATATGCGTACTCAATTAATTCAGAAACAAATGATTAAACATGATATAAAAAGTAAATAAATACCCTGCAGAATACTCAATCATCAATAAAGTAGGACATGAAAATTTATAGTAAGGAAATCCTGTTTCATGTAGAAAGCCATGATGTTTCAAAGGTGAAAAATTTGAAAGCAGGTGAATTGAGGCATCATGTTTTTCCGAATATTTGAAGTAATTCTTGGAATTGTATGCATTGAATTCATAGATTTTTGCAGTTGTGAAGAGTTTTAGGGGGAAAATCTGAAATAGTATTACACTTTATACGGGGTCTTGAAGGAGGTGTCTGGATCTCGTACCACGGGTTAAATTTCCGTACATTTATGAATCATGTGACCTTTCTGCAGTCATTTCATGAATGATGTGATGAGGTGATGAATGAACTGATCAAGCCCATGAATGATTCTTAGAGGTTGCTGGACTACTATAGGCAAGAGTTAGTCTTAACAACCCCATGATGGGAAGGAAACAAAAAGTCTGTTGATCAAACTGGTGATTTGCCACATGTTTTTTGATGACTACAAAGTTGACTGGCAAAGAATAGTTTATGTGGCTAAATATCATTTAGGCAAAGTTAAACTCGAGCGAGCTGGCTAGCGGTCTTCTCCCACTTCAGTATGTGACCTATGGGGTGGCCCGCAGGGAATTGCAGGGCTCCTTGTGTCCCCTTTTGCTAGTGTTGCTTTGCATTGTGGCTTTGCTTACTGATCGTAGCGGATCAATTTTTGCCTACTTGCGAATCATTGCGGATTCTTGCTGATCGTAGCGGATCAATGTTTGCCTACTTGCGAATCATTGCGGATTCTTGCCGTCTTGGCCATTGCTTACTGATCGTAGCGGATAAATGGCTATAAAATTGAAGCTCTACAATTCTTCACTTTTACATTGTTTAAGTTCTAACCCTCGTTATGACACTTACATCTGTTTTTTAGTGGGAGAAATCTTGATTCACGCACTGAAATGTTAGTGGATCATGCGTCACAGTAAATATATTTCTCACAAGTCACATCTCTATATTTCATGAGTTTCCCGATTCACCCTCTGTTTACCAGTCAATTCACGGACCATGTGAAACCCGTTCCAAAACCATTTTTTATATACGTGAGATATCAATTAATTTTTTTCAACTTCTTGTCATGTATGTATTGCAGATGTGTTCAGCTTTGTACTTGACCATCATGCCTTCTACTTGCAGCACTTTATTTCCAATGGAAACTACTTGTATACAAATTGAATTAATGTAATTCTTTTCATGTTAGTTTGAGAAATGTTTTTTTCATAGTACTGTGTGTGCTGGTACTTTTCTTTCCTCCTTACCCAAACTACTTCCATGCCCACACACAGGCTACTTAAGAATTTATTGCCTCCTGATTTCTTATCTAATCTCCAAGCAAGGTTGATTGAATGCTGTAAGGGCATCTTGTTACGTTTATAGTGTTACGCAAATTGCTTTTAAGGATTAAATTTTGGGTCTTTGAATAAAATATTTCAAGAAATAACATCCCTGTTTGTTGTGTTTTACTGATTGTTCTAGATTTAGAATAAGAGAATTAAGCCTATTTGCTCTCAGACTAAGTTATTGCACACAGGGTCAATGAATTAACATTGTTTGGAAGAACAACTTCGAGAAGTTTTGCAGTCATCAATAGGTTAATATTATAAAGTTTGAAATCATTGCTAGCGTCATTGATAAGCCTTACTCCTACATTTGTATTTATGCATGAACTTCACTGTCACCAAAACACCTTAATAGATCACGTAGGCGAATTGACCTCAGTGTAGGCAAATTGACTTGTGGGCAAAATAACTCGCACACAAACAACCTGATGAAGTGAAACCTGGCAGGGGTATTTTGCAGTGCACCAATTGCATAATGCTGAATAACTCTGAGTTAAGTGATTTGGCTTCTGCTCTATTTCTGGTGAAAAAATGTGGATGCTGCAAGCCTCACCAAGAAATTTTCACGGAACACTACCTGTGCATATACTGGAGAGATTATGCAATAGGTTTCTTTTCTATTTGTTGTATTCTCTATGGCATGGGATAAATGATGGTACAAGCTATTCTAAGTATTCAGATAATAGGGCACAGTGCAAAGTACAGAAAACTAGAAGTAATAGAGGGAGACTGGGGAGGGTGGTAGGGAGCCTACTATCTGATTGCCTGGATCAGTTTGCATTTGGTATGTGATATCACATGCCCCTTGAAAATATTGGTTTGTGTATTTTTAAGTGGCATACTTATTGTAGCTGTGATATTATCCACTGACTTAAAATTTGGTACATATATTTGATTAGTCATTGATTACTCATTGTTCATGAAGTGCATGAGGAAATTCATCATATTGGGTACTCATTGATCATCATCACTAATCAATGACTAATCAAATTAAGTACCCATCAATCACCTATTGATTACTTGCCAGCTGTTGTCATTTATGTTTTTGATGTGTCATTTATTAATATTATGTCTGGTTTATAGGCAGGCAATATTGCTGTCTTGACCTAAGGTAGATTTACGCCATTAAGCACTTTTAATTGTTAGGTCCAAGTGCAAAATCAATGAATGATCAGTGTTCCTTCGTTGATGCTTGGTCTGTTTGTAGAAGGGTGTTAAAGAGTTGGGATATTTTCAGCTGAAGTGACATCTAGTAACTTTATTTCCTCTAATGAGTTTTTCCTACCTGTCAAAGAGCTTGCTTGATCTTGCATTAGCTGCTCAAACTAATTTTATTGGTGGCTACAAAGTAAGGTACCTACAGTATTTGTGTCTTTAACTAATATTGATTCATGTTTGTGTCAATAGGAACTATATCCAAAAGACGATACCAGCACTTGATCAATGTCCTTTAATTGTAAAAGTGTTCACACTGCGGAAAAGCGTTATAAATGTAAACAGTGTGGCAAGTCTTTTCGCCGATCAGAAGACCTAAGGAGACATGAAAGAGTTCACACTGGGGAAAAGCCTTTCGAATGTAAACAGTGTGGTAAGTGTTTTAGTGAAGCAGGAAACTTAAGGATTCATGAAAGAGTTCACACTGGGGAAAAGCCTTATGAATGTAAACAGTGTGGCAAGTGTTTTAGTGTAGCAGGAAACTTAAGGATTCATGAACGAGTTCACACTGGGGAAAAGCCTTATGAATGTAAACAGTGTGGCAAGTGTTTTAGCATGGTAAGAACCCTAAGGAGTCATGAAAGAGTTCACACTGGGGAAAAGCCTTTTGAGTGTAAACAGTGTGGTAAGTGTTTTAGTGTAGCAGAAAACTTAAGGATTCATGAAAGAGTTCACACTGGGGAAAAGCCTTATGAATGTAAACAGTGTGGCAAGTGTTTTAGTGTAGCAGGAAACTTAAGGATTCATGAAAGAGTTCACACTGGGGAAAAGCCTTGTGAATGTAAACAGTGTGGCAAGTGTTTTAGTGTAGCAGGAAACTTAAGGATTCATGAAAGAGTTCACACTGGGGAAAAGCCTTATGAATGTAAACAGTGTGGCAAGTGTTTTAGGCGATCAGAAGACCTGAGGAGACATGAAAGAGTTCACACTGGGCAAAAGCCTTATGAATGTAAACAGTGTGGCAAGTGTTTGAGCCGAGCAGGAAACCTAAAGAGTCATGAAAGAGTTCACACTGGGGAAAAGCCTTTTGAATGTAAACAGTGTGGTAAGTGTTTTAGTGAAGCAGGAAACTTAAGGAGACATGAAAGAGTTCACACTGGGCAAAAGCCTTATGAATGTAAACAGTGTGGCAAGTGTTTTAGCCGAGCAGGAATCCTAAAGAGTCATGTAACAGTTCACACTGGGGAAAAGCCTTATGAATGTAAACAGTGTGGCAAGTGTTTTAATCAGGCAGGAAACTTAAGGATGCATGAAAGAGTTCACACTGGGGAAAAGCCTTATGAATGTAAACAGTGTGGCAAGTGTTTTAGCCGAGCAGGAAACCTAAACAGTCATGTAAGAGTTCACACTGGGGAAAAGCCTTATGAATGTAAACAGTGTGGCAAGTGTTTTAGACATTTGAATGCCATAAGGACTCATGAAAGGGTTCACACTAAGGGGAAAAAACATGAATGTAAACAGTGTGGCAAGTGTTTTACCAAATGTGGAACGCTAAAAAAACATGGAAAATGTCATACTCCAAAAAGGTCAGGTAAATATTCCAAAAGAAAGGAAAGATTGACTTATTCTTCGGCTACGATAGTTGAAAAGGTCACACGATCTGCAAACAAAGCGCTGGTACAGAAAGAGAGTGGAAACAATAGTACGGAAGGCTTAGAATCAGCAATCTTTGAGAAACACAGCTGTTGGATTTGTCAAGAGGAGATGAGGAGTGAGGCACTTCTTCTTCAACATTATGAGAATCATATGAGAAATATAGGTGAAGATGACACGTAAGTTTACGAACATTTGGGTCCTTACTGTTAAATTCATAAAACTTTCAACACTAAGTTGTAAGTTTCACAGTAAAAGCCATGTTTTCACTGGTGTCTGTAAAACCAGAACAGGCCTAATAACTATGAAACAGCAGTGTTCACACGGGTGTCTGTAAAATCAGAACAGACCTGGAAGACTACGAAACACATTCCCACTCCCCCATCGCCGACTTGACGTACAGTAGAAAAAAGAGGGTAAGAACCTAGTTTTAGAGAACCTGTTAATTAGGCTCGCTCTACACTAGGCTGTTCCAGGCGTTCAGATGGTGGGGAGCGAGTTAAATCGTACGCATCGAGCGCAAAAGGAACACCCAACTATTTTTTTTGCCCACTCCCCACCATTTGAACGCGTGGAACAGGCTACCTCTACACAAGAACTTGTTTAGCCTTGAATTTGAAACAGGTTCTTATTTTTAAAGTCTATCAAAAAATATTCTGTACAGGAGGGCAAATAAGTTAAGTCAACATTTAGGATCCTTTTTGAAGACAGGGTTATCACTCCAACTGCAATATAATGTGTCAGTCTGCAGATTTCATCAGTCTTAGAAATGAGCTGAATAGCACCAAATATTTTAGCTAGAACCTACAATGGTTTTTCCTTCAGAAAATAAGAACTTATTTAAGAACCTAAATGACCTTAATTTGTGCTAATTACCATTTATGTAAGAACCTGTTTAACTTGGGAAAATGCAGTTTCTTAGGCGTTGGTTTTTACTGCATTTGATAAAGTTTTAAGGAAGGTTCCGTTAAGCGTAAGTTTCACTACGTTTCGTTACTGGTGAACAGTAAATGACCGTATGAAGGCTTGGGACGTCTTTCAGTTTTAAGGTTGATTTCAATGAACGCAATTTTTGGCTACGCACGTTACCTAGGGTATTTTTTAATCACGTAAATAAACTACAGGGTGTTTCAAAAGTTCGTTCCGATTTTGTATTCGCTTAAATTTCACTAATTATCAAAAAACCCCTTTTCAAAACTTATTATGTTATTCATTATTCATTTAACATTGAATAACTAAAATATTAGTAACCAGAATGCTTTCCTTTATGTGTTCTGACATTTTCTAAGAGGTGAGGTATAGAATGTACGAGCTCCCAAAGCGTGTCCAAAGTCACATTCTTCCAGGCGAAGCGTAGTCACTGTCTTAGCTCGTCCAGTGTATTGGGGGCTGGATCTTTGTATGTTGTCTCGTCTATGATAATCCAGATGGTTTCTAGGGGGTTCACATCACGTCAGTTTGCCGGCCGGTCCTCCTTTGGTATAAAGTTGGCAAATCCTTCTGACCATGCTTGCATGAAGTGTGCACCGCCTTTTTCTCTTCAACGCTTTCAACTTTTTTTGGTAACTTATCCCCATACCGTTGAGCTCGAAACTTTGATCGATAACGTGAAGTTGAATTTTTTTTACCTTTCTGTTTTGTGGAATTATTATACATATACTTACAGCTTTTTCGATAATATTTCTCACACATTTTGTGAAAAAACGGCCATCCACTCCTTGGTTTGTCTTCTAAGTTCTTCACTTTTGACCGCTTGTTCGGTCATCGTTCAGACTTCTTCAACAATTTGGCAATTTTTTTTTTGGACTTAATGGCCAGAAGATCATAAAAGTAGATGCCTGGCCCGGGTTCCTAGAAAGCCGTCGCCCCATGTAAAGGAATCCGGATTCCGGAATCCGGGAAATTTTTGCATTTGGAATCCGGAATCTTGGAAATTTTTGTTTGTGGAATCCGGAATCCTGGGCCTTGGAATCCGGAATACAGGAGTAGGAATCCGGAATCCCACTGACAATTCGAATCCGGAATCCAAGTTCCACTGAAAAAGATCTGGAATCCAGTAATTGGAATCCGGAATCCACGGCGTGGAATCCAGAATCCAAGAGTGTCTTGGATTCCCTTACATGGGGCGAAAGCCGATTAGCGCTGATCGAGGATTAAATCTCGCTAATCGCGGAATACATTTTGTCCCACGATTTGATCCTGTTCCTGAAAGCATGATTAACCTTAATCTAGGAATAAACTAAGTGTTAATTTTAACCCACCTAGCGAGGTCGATTAAGTCATTAATCGGGGGAAAACGTTTGTAAAACAAAGAAAATGGCGGACTTACCGTTGCCTAAAATACGTGAAAAAAAGTTCCGACAGCAAGAAATTGATCTCGACCAATTCACTGATGAAGAGCTTTACAGTAAAACCAGGTTTGGCCGAGAGTCAATTCATTATTTGGTAGAAATCCTCAAGAACGACCTCGAGAGACAGACGAGGAGAAAACATAAGCAGTTGCCAGGGTGGTCACTACTTCATGTAATAAATTTGGTCATTATAAAACATGGACTGTGGACTGCGGATTGAATACAGCGGCTATGTTATAAAAACTGGGCCAATTATTTCTAGGTAGATGAAGAATTTCGGTTTCCTCTTCTTCTCCTTTGGTTCAACCTAGACCACTTCATTTTCCGCCATTTTCCTTTACTTCACCCGTGCCTAAACATTTTTCGCGCCATATTTTTTAATAGCAATCATCCCAAAAACTTGTTAAACCGGTTTATTTTAACACTAATCTCGGATTAGTTACTCATGGGTTTATTTCGCTTTCAGGAACTCCTTTTTAACCCACGATTAGTTATCCGAGGAATAAGAAAATTAATCGTGGATTTGATGCTAATCGGAGGATATTTTAGTCGGCTTTCCAGGAACCGGGGCCTGATCTCTAACACAAACAGTGTAGGCCTTCATTTTCAGCAGTAGAGAAAATAAAAGAAAACGATAAAAATACTAAAATAGAAAGCCTAGAAAATGGGCAGGAAAAGTATGGCGGGAAAGACCTCGCGTACGTGTACAGCTGGGGCAAAAATTAAAAATATATATATAATTTCTTCAAGTTTTAGTTTGAAGTTGCTTTGAACGGTTATTTAGATAAATTTCTTACCTGAATCAGTTTACATTTGCCTAAAGAAGTATCAAATGCTTTTCTCAAAACACAATTTAGAATCGGAACGAACTTTTGAAACACCCTGTAGAGGCAAGATATAAAGTGTTGACATTAAACGTGAAGTTGAGCGAGGTTATACTTTTACGCTTATGAGCGATCTTTCATACATTACCTCTATTTTATTTGCGAACGTAAATTTTAGGCACGTACGCACGTAAAAATTATGTGACAGTGGAAATCAACCCTTAGGTGGTCAAGCGGAGTCGAGAAGCGTATTTCTTCATCACTGCAACAAGTTCTACATAACTAATATGCTTTAGGCAAAAAAATCAAGAGAGCTTGAAAAAAGCGGAATATCCACTTCATCAATTGACATGTCCGGGTCGTCTAGAGATCTATATTCAGTTGCCTTATCAAATCCCAACATCTTGTTCAATGTAAAGTGCATTGAAAATTCCTAGTATTTTGAGGAGGCGTTCATTCGAGAGGGGCGTCTAATACAATTTAAACAGCATAGATGGGGCGTTTATAAGATAGGATGCATTTCTTTGGAAGTGGGCGTTTATTACGTCATTTATGGTAGTCGGTTGTATGTTCAACTTAAGGTCTCGGTAAAGGAAAACGAGGTGCCCACAGAAAAAAATTCTAGTCGCGCGAGTATTTTCGCTACAAAGGCAAGTTATATATCAAATTAAAGCTAAAAGACTAAATTACCTTATAAAAGATTTTATTTCATCGAATTTCAAAAGGCGCTTAAGTTTTTTTGCTCTCGAACTCAGAGGTATCGATTTTACTGCTGAAGCTCCAGCCCTTTCGCGTTGTTAAATATTCACTTCCTTTTTATTGCATCTGATTGACAGATAAAAGACCTAAAAAAGGGTGTGAGGAAATTTGCATATGTCTCGTATTAGCGGAATTATTGCATTTCAAACTAAAAAGTGGAATCTCGAGCGCGATTTACGCAAAGAAACTGACATAAAATGAGTTACGAAGGGAAATCGGAAAATTCCTCACACACTTTTTTAGGACTTTTATCTGTCAATCAGATGCAATAAAAAGGAAGTGAATATTTAACAACGCGAAAGGGCTGGACCTTCAGCAGTAAACTCGATACCTCTGAGTTCGAGAGCAAAAAACTTAAGTCCCTTTTGAAATTCGATGAAATAAAATCTTTTATAAGGTAATTTAGTCTTTTAGCTTTAATTTGATATATAACTTGCCTTTGTAGCGAAAATACTCGCGCGACTAGAATTTTTTTCTTTGGGCACCTCGTTTTCCTTTACCGAGACCTTAAATTTGTCTTAAGTACTGAAAAATTCGGATAGCGCTTCTGTTACGCGAATTCGTAAGAAAGAGATGGAATTCTACCAAAATGTGCTGGAAAAGACAGTTTATAAAGTACTCTTTTCCTTCTTAATTCCTAATTTTGAAAAATTGACAACTTAAAATCCAACGTTCGCCGTTTGTCATAAACGTCATTCTAAGCCTCTTTACTTTTGCCTTTATACTTACAAAATGTAATTATACAACAACGTTTCTTACTTTTACTCGTATAAATAGCGCTTTTGTATTTTTTATTTTTTTGCAGTTGGAAAGAATTTATTTTTTATTACCCTATTGTGCGCGGTAAGAGCCAAGGATATCTCTCACAAAACAAAAGATCTCTTGAGGAGTGAACTACTTCTTTTCCGTTTCCGAAATTTCGGCTATTTTCTCAGGCTTCGTCAGTTTCTACTGTAGTAAGTGTTGGGATGTGTGATTGATTTCATTCAGAAAAAAACTATGGTAGACATTTATCGAGAGTAGTGAC